AGTTAGAGCGCTCTGGCTGGCTTTATTGCGGTATAACGTGCAAGTGTAGCTAAGGCCCTAGCTAAGGTCACATGGGAGACCTGGGAATAGAATCTAGTTACAAAATCTTGAAGGCCCAATCCATGCTGGTACAGCTACAGGTGTCTGAGAACCACAGGTGTAAGACCATGTATATCAGAGATTGAGTTGAATGCCTCCTGAATATTGATGTTTGGATCCAGACTTGAACTTTGCATCCAGCTTCTATTTCTATAAAGGACTGGATCAAATTCCCCAGCTTGAAACATGCTGAGGTCCCATCTTTACTTTCTACGCATGTGAGACTAAAGAACTATGCTTGCAGGTTAGAGAGCCACAGTCCGTTACTTCATGACGTAGCAGTTTGCTATATGGCCTCACGTGCTTTGGTTTTGTCTAGTGTTAGATTTGTGCATGCAGGAACTTTCAGAGTACATTGCATAAGCCTCTTCCATACGCTTCCCAGAGGCCTTTTGGTGTTGAGAAATGGTCCTGTTCTAATACTCTAAATGCTGGTTTCAGATGGATGCGTGCAGCTGACCCTCCATCATTTAAGACTTTTTTCCACAGAAATTGAGGCAAGACTCAGTGTGTACCTTTAAACGACTTAACTGGTGCCAGGGGCTCATTCTATCCAGTGAAACACATTTGTCAGATGGCCAAATGGGCCAGTGATGTGATCAGCATACCACTGATTTCTATGGAATTATGGCAGCTTGGAGGACCAGTAGTCAATGGGTTAAATCTGTGGTTCATAAGCCTGCTATCTGGAAGGCTTCCATAGAGCAGTGGTTGAGTACCTCAGACTGAGTCATTTTAGAGCAATGACAAATACATATTCTCTTCACAACCTTCGACAATCATGTTTCTTAAATGGAAAGATGCCTCTAAATACTCTAGTGGGTTTAGCAAAGTGCAGAGACCCAGCAACTCCTGAGGTTTTCGCCTGGTGCTGGTTTGCTTTGTGGCCTTGGACAACTCACTAAGCCCCTCATTTTCCAATAGAGGTGCCTCAAGTTAAGCACCTAAATAAATGGCCTGACTTTGAGCCCTCCAGCTCCCATGGCCAGGAGCATGATATCACTGGGATCTCTGCAAATTGGGCCCCTGTAGTTTGGGGCCTAAAATGTGGATGAAGATGCCCATTTCAGACTCCCAGTCTTGAAAATGTTGGCTTAAATCTCTCCATGTCTGTTTCCCCTCTCTAAAACAGGGATAATAATAACTACCTGCCTTCTTGCAGGGGAGTTTTGAGGTCATAGGGTGAAATCTTGGCCCCAGTGGCAGAACTCCCATTGACTTCCATAGGGCCAGGATTTCACCCATTGAGTTTGTCTCTAAAGTGCCCTGCAGATGTCAACTTTTGTGTGATTGGAAACGACTATTATTCCTGAATCTTGTGCACGGGCTTCTACTGCAGGGCACTAGGAGAGCCTGTATTACTAAAGGTTTCAGAGTAGCAGCCATGTTAGTCTGTATCCGCAAAAAGAAAAGGAGGACTTGTGGCACCTTAGAGACTAACAAATTTATTTGAGCATAAGCTTTCGTGATGCATCCGATGAAGTGAGCTGTAGCTCACGAAAGCTTATGCTCAAATAAATTTGTTAGTCTCTGAGGTGCCACAAGTACTCCTGTTCTTTTTGTATTACTAAACAAACCCTCATGCTGGAAAAAATACTCTGGTATTTAGTCCTCAGTGTTAAATATTTTACCCAGACACTGGTGCGAACTCCCAGGCTTACAAAATAGACAGTTGAATTTAATGTACAGGCAAGGCCCCTGATTTTGAGCTTCTCATCTGAAAACTACGCCCAGAATAAGAATCTAAGAATAAATAAAGAATAAACTGCAGGGAGCTCAACTTCTCTATCACTGAATGATGTAGGGCTGAGCTGCTCTTGCCAGGAACAGAACAGGCAGTTCCCAATGAGATTAGATGCTCCAAGCCTGATTCTTAGACCCCTAAGCCATCCCCTGGAGAGTAGCAGTGCTTAGCCGCTGCTCATAGAGTTGGTAGGAAAAATTCACATCCCAGTTTTTGTGGGTCCTGTGCAGTTAGTGACTTTTCCCTGTTTCTCAGCAATGAAGTGGCAGATTTGGACTATTTAGAAATTGGAGGACAAGCTTCCCAGGGCAGTGTTTGAACCAAGCTGCTTGTACTGTTATGGCAACGACTCCTCTCCGGTGCACGGGGACTTCCCTTAGCAGCAGAAGTTACTCTGCCTCCGAGCCCAATAAATCGGACTCCAGCAAACTGCTCCAGCGGCAGCAGCTTTAAGGAAGGCTAAAGTTTGACTCTGAATGTATTGCTTAGCAGTGGGCCAACTGCTCGGCTGCCATTTGAGTGTCTCATTTCTCATAATGGGTAGAATTTTTTTTTTTTTAATGGGGAAGGAAGGAGTTTCGCTTGGTCAGATTTGTCATTCAACCTGATGTGTGTTACAAAACTGGAACAGCAAGTGCTTTGGTGCTGCAATCGTACGTTTCAGCATAATGTCCTTCTTTGGCTCTCTCAGGGCCCCAAATCGGTCACCCTCACTCACTGAGTATAGCACCTTCATCCTCCGGTAGTCCCACTGAAATCCATAGAGTGACTCCCAGAGTCCAGCATAGCCTGGCCCAGGGAAGATCACACCAGTGCAAGGGCATAGATCCAAATCAGAGGCTTGTCTGCCTTTGCTCAGCCACCGCAGAGTGGCGGAAGGAGGCATGGCTGTGAAGGGGGAGCATGGTTTTCAGGCCTTTGTGGCAGTTAAAGACTAGTGCATCCCTTGAGCTACTGTATCACAGTACACAGGGGATGACATGCACAGAGCACCAGGGTCAGGACCAAGGGGAGGTTTAGGCTAGCTTTGCACAGCACCCACTATGTGCATTTTGGCCATAACCAAGGATTTGGCTCATGATCTTTGCACCTGGCTTTCACCTGTGCACTCTCTCACGCTTTGTAGCATTGCGATGGCTGGACTGCAGCACCATGAAAAGAGACCCTAAAGTATTGTAGAGTTGGAAATATTCCTTGTATACCAATCTATTTACTGACTTTAAAAATCAGGGGTAGTTAAATGGTCGTGCTGATCTATAGTGACCTATCAAGTGACAGCACTCCTCTCCAGAGACCCCTGGCAGGAGAACACAATTTTACTCTGAATTTGTGGCTGGGCTCTGTCAGGCTCAACTGTATGCTCTGTTGTAGTATTTATTTTAAAATAGTTTGTATTAGGTCTTGGAAAATTCTGCCAGATGTGGGGTCAGGAAGGAATTCTGTCAGAAAGGGGTCAGATTGACAGAGATCTTGAGGTTTTTTCACCTTCCTCTATTGTGTGGGGAGCAGGTAGTTTGCTAGAATCATTTGAGCATATCTGACTTAATCAATTCCCTGCCCCTGCAGGGGCCTCTGGCATTGGTGGAATCTCATAAGACCGGCCATACTGGATCAGACCAATGGTCCATCTAGCCCAGTATCCTGTCTTCCGCCAGATGCTTCAGAGGAAATGAACACAACGGGGCAATTATCAAGCTCCATTCCCTGTTATCCAGTCTCTGCTTCTGACAGTCAGAGGTTTAGGGACACCCAGAGCAATGGGTTGCATCCCTAATCATCCTGGCTAATAGCCATTGATGGACCTATCCTCCATGAATTTATCTAATTCTTTTTTAACCCAGTTATACTGTTGGCCTTCACAACATCCTCTGGCAAGGAGTTCCACGCGTTGACTCTGTGTTGTATGAAGACGTACTTCCTTAAGTTTGTTTTAAACCTGCTGCCTATTAATTTCATTGGGTGACCCCTGGTTCTTGTGTTATGAGAAAAGGTAAATAACATTTCCCTATTCACTTTCTTTGTACCATTCGTGATTTTATAGACATCTATCGTGCCCCTCCTCCCCAGTTATCTCTTTTCTAAGCTGAACAGTCCCAGTCTTATTAATCTCATGGTACAGGGGCTGATTTAAGCGTTAGGTTACATACCACAGTTAGTTTTGCAATTTCATATTTGAGTTTCTGCAGAACTCTTGGTGAACACCAGCTGGTCCTGGTGATTTTACTGTTTCATTTATCAATTTATTTCAAAACCTCCTCTGACGCCTTTGATTTGTCACCCAAAATGAATGGCTCAAGTGTGGGACTCTCCCTCACATCCTCTGCAGTGAAGACTGATACAAAGAATTCATTGATTTCGCTTTGCTTCAACTGCCTTGCCTTTCTTGAGCGCTCTTTTAACATCTCAATTGTCCAACGGCCCCACTGATTGCCTGGCAGTCTTCCTGCTTCTGATGTACTTTTAAAAAAATTGCTGTTAATTTTTGTGTCTTTTCCTAGTTGCTCTTCAGATTCTTTTTTGGCCTGTCTAATTAGAATTTTGTCATCCCCTTTAAATAACTGACACTATTGGTCTGTATGTTCTCTCTTCGTGGCACACAACAATTCAGGCTCCTGAAGACTGAAATGCTTTAGTCTAACCGCAGTTATTGGGCTCAACACAGGGGTAACTAGGTAAGTTGACAGGTTTCAGAGTAGCAGCCGTGTTAGTCTGTATCTGCAAAAAGAACAGGAGGACTTGTGGCACCTTAGAGACTAACAAATTTATTTGAGCATAAGCTTTCGTGAGCTACAGCTCACTTCATCACTTTATGCTCAGATAAATTTGTTAGTTTCTAAGGTGCCACAAGTACTCCTTTTATTTTTAGGTAAGTTGAGTGGCCTGTGCTATACAGGAGGTCAGACTGGATGATCTATAGTCTCTTCTGGCTTTAAACTCCATGAAATTGCCTGATTTTGTGCCAACTTAAACCGGGTGGGTTTGACTGTATTTCGAAAGTTAATGGGTTCAACATCTATTTAATAGAGAGTGGGCTAAAAAGAACAAAGGCTGAGAGGGGAAAGGCAAGGGGTAGGAAAGAGAGAGAAATCCCGTGGAAATACAGCGTTAAAAATGGAGAAGATGACAAAACCATTACCTCCACTGTAGGAATCACTGGGTGAATTTCTCTGGCCTGTGTGATGGACGAGGACAGACTGGATGATCTAACAGTCCCTTCTGGCCTTAAAATCTGTGAAGGTTGGAGAAACAAACACGACAGAGAAACATGAAGGTTTGGCAGGGAAAGAGAGAGAATCTAAGAGGAGACAGTTTATATCTCCTGTACATGCCACCCACTTGTACCAGCCTGGCTTGTGGGACGGGGTATGATTCGCTAATACAGAGTGCTGGTTTCCTTGCGGACTTCCACTAGTTTTGCAAACCCTAATGCAAATATTTCCCAATGTTCGCAAAACCTCCTACTCCACAAAATTTTCCCATCTGTGATTTTTCACAGGTTTTTCCAAAGTCCAGCAAGAGCGAATTGTTGGCAGTGAAAATAGCTTCATAACCAGGTCCCAAGACAATGAAATGGCCATAGTCTCTCATTGTGCTTTTGAAAGTCCCAGATTCTCATAGGAGGTGGCAGACAAATTCTGGTTTTCCAAAGGGTCTGGCTGCTTTTTAAAAAAAATTTTTTTTTAAAGAAACTGAACCATACATACATGTATGTATGTACTGGAAACACTGGTTCATTTGTTACAGAAATGGAACAAAAGACACCTTTATTACTATTGAGATATAAAACATTTAGCACCTTGATTATTATTCATGAACATTAGGTGATAAGTTATGCACTTTTTATAGAACAGGAAACTGAGGCACGCTCAACCCCCATCCTCTTCTCATTGAGGTCAGTGGCAAAACTCCCATTGACCTCAGCAAGCCCTACAGAGGGTCCTACAGAGGGTAGGTGACTCTCCAAGGCCACACCGTGAGTTGTTATTGGAGCTCAGGAATTTGGGCCCAGATTTTCAAAAGATTTTAAGTACCTAAATAGCTTTGACGAGCTGGGCCTTGGGCACCAGTTCAGCCAAGCACCTAAGCAGCTGCTTAACACTTCAGTAGTACATAAGTTGTGTGTTTAATTTTAAGCACACTCTTAAGTACCTTGTTGAATCTAGACCTCAGGTCCTGGCTCCTTGGTCTGTATTCTGATCGTGCCTTTGTCATCAACTTTAAAAAACTGAAACCCTGCCTTCTTTTCCTTCAGCTTCATTATATTGTTTTCAGTCATTTCCTATGCGTCCTAGGGGGAAAGTACAGTGGTTTTAGGTACAGTATTTTATAACAGCATCTGATGTAATTCCCAATAAGAACAACATAAGAACGGCCATACTGGGTCAGACCAAGGTCCATCTAGCCCAGTGTCCTGTCTTCAGACAGTGGCCTATGCCAGCTGCTTCAGAGGGAATGAACAGAACAGGTAATGATCAAGTGATCCGTGTGCTGAATCTGTAGTTACATCCCAGTGTAGCTACCAGTGAATGCCCACTATTTTTCTTGTAACTCTCCTCATTGGCCTGGAAGTAGCTCTCTTTGGAGTGTGATATGGGCCATTCAAGCCATTAAGCTTTTGGCATCTTTTGCATAATACTCTCAATACACACTGACATCATCTGGCATGCATGCTAAGTCCAGAGACATTGTAATGATAAATATGTCAAGTCCCTCTCTGAGTCAGTGAGAACTTGCATATTATCACCAGATTGCTCTGACACACCCAGTCTATACGCTGCACTTTTTGTGCCACATCATGGAGAAGTGAATCTGGTTTCCTCTCCAAACTTCAGACCAGGAAACATGGATGTGACATAAGCTTCTTTGGGAATAAGAATAGGAGTCATGTCCTTTGGGAGCCAGTGTTCTCAAAAATAAATCATTGTTAATCTTTATTTCTGTACAGTGCATATTAATAGGAGAGATTTTACCGAAAATGGGCCCAAACTGCCAAATTCAAGTCCAAGTTCTTCCAAAAGTCTAGAGCATTTTGCTCTGGGGCTTTGGGTTGACCCATCAGAGACACAAGGCCCAGCAGCTGCTATGTTTAGAGCCTGACTCATGCGTCCAGAAGGCTTGGGGCACACACACATGTGGGGTTTGGTGCCAGACGCTCATGTATCTAACAGCAGAGAAACAAAAGAGAATTAAACACATAGGCCAAGACTTTGAAAACACAAGCCTCGGTTTTTAAAGGAGCCCAGAGGACTGAAATTCAGTGGGAGTTTGGCACCTAGATCAAAGCCATCTAAGACCATAATTAGGCACTTAAATTAGTGGCTTGATTGTCAAAAGTGCTGAGCAGTCAAGTAGCTCTTACCGATTTTGCTAAGATCTTCAAAAGGGCATTTGACATTCAGTTCCCATTAATTTTAACGTGAATTGTTGTCCAGAGCTGCCATAGGGATTGAAAAAATCTCAGGCACAGAGCATTTTACTGTAGTAATAATCCACAGGACAAGAGCATCCTTAAATAAAAAGAGAAAGAAGGAGAGAGATTATTACTGAGGAGATCAGAACTAAAAGGTTACTGGCCGAGAGCTATTTAAAGGCATTTCCAATTCCCTCTCTCTCCAACAGGGCTAGGAACCCTGGTTTATCTGCCATGCTTAACTGTGCCGATTTCATTGGGGCTATTTGAAGGGGAAGGTATTACTCAATGTGAGTAATGTTGGTAGAATCTGATAGTAACTAAAAAGCATCTGAAATCCACCAAAATCATGCATAGAATTCCCCCCCCCTTAAGTGAAAATAGACCAAAATGACTGCCCAACCCCCACAAAAATAACTACACCGGAAACGCTCCTGTGTAGAGACATTGCAGCCAAAAGCCAATTTCACATGCTGAATTTTAAATTCCTAAAGCCAGTAAAGGGAGATGTCTAATGGAAATGGTGGTAGTGTACTGTAATTCCAGGTCCTGCTGTCTATGGTTGACAAGAGGTCCTTGTTTTTCTCTTAGATTCCACACATGTTCTTCCTTTTGATTCTTGCCTGGTTTAGGCTACTTTTTAAATGCAAATGTGCTTGTTTAATTTAAAAAGTAAGTACATTTGTTTCTCCTGATAGCACAACTCACTCTAGTCTAGTGCATGCTAGTTCCTTGCTTGCTATGTGGAGATGCTATGCAAGTATCCCATCCACTCCCCAAACTCCGCCAATGCACATATATCCTCACCCGCAACACCCCCTGCTACTCCAGTTTTGGACCCTGCACAGCTCTGCCCAAGTACTTCTAGCCCTGATCTTGGAAGCACTCAGTGCTATAGTGATGAAGGCTATATAATCCCCTGGATGGATAGATGGAATTTCCAAGATACAGGGCCTTAGCTGCGGCAGTACAAAACGGCTGTAGTGTTGTATATGAACTGATGAAGGATAAGAACCCTGTGCAGGGTAACTTTATTTCTGGAGCAGCAGCATGGCAAATCCTAAAGGGATGTAGCCTCCTTGCAGATAAAGCGCCACCTAGACCAATCTCTAGCTAGGTCCTTTAGTAGTACCATTTTTTAAATGGTGGGATTTGGCTGACCAATGGACAGGAAGCCTTTTGGGTCAAAATCACAGGATTCTTTCCTTCCTGAATATCCCATAATGCCTTTTGTTGTTTGTATTCCTCCCTCTGCATCTTTCTTTACAGCCAGATCCTGTCCATTCCCTCTGGCTCTGCAGTCCACAGAGAACTGGCTTTTTTCCCTTCTGTTTGATAGAGGCATCCCTCACCTTGGGTGACATGCAGGGAACGCTGCGTGTCGGGCCGCCTGACACGCAGTCCTGAGTAATACACAGATGGCCACTGCTAAGTGACTTCCAGTCTCTTGCCCTCATAAAAGGGAATTAACTAAACAACTCGTGGCCCCGGAATTGGGGAAGCGGTGTGTGAAGTTTACTTACAAGTGTGATAAGCATGTTGGTGTATAAGAAGCTGTGCTTTTTACCACTGCACTTTAGACAGGAGCTGTTTTACAGCACCTAGTGCTTTTCCTTATGTTCTGTTTACTTAGGTGACCCTACCATCGTAGCATCTGAGTGCTGCATAAACATCAATGAACATATCCTCAATTTGACTCAGCGGGTGTAGCTGGGTGCTCACACCTTTGAAAATCAGGTCACTTAGGTGCCTAAGTATGAACCTAACTTTAGGCTCCTGTTTTGGGAAATCTTGGCCAATAATTATTATGGAGCCTAATTGAAGGGGGAATCTGATTTTAATTCAATCAGGTTTCATTTCCTTGGTACTTGTGATGTCATTATCCTACCAGTTCTCCAGTCATCCACAAGTCTTCCCGGATAAACAGGATATATAAATGTCACCGTGTTCTCTGCTCACCACTGGGGTGGCCTGCTTGTGGCTGTATCTGGGGAATAGCTCTGCCTGGTCTGAGACCCCTTTTTCATCTCTCGTGGGCTGCGGCCCTGTTCACGCTCCAGGACTTGTGGTACTTCCTCTGTGACTCGGCCCTCTGGCCAGGTCACTATATGGTTTCTGGTTTCAGAGTGGTAGCCATGTTAGTCCGTATCAGCAAATACAACGAGGAGTCCTTCTGGCACCTTAGAGACTAACAAATTTATTAGGGCATAAGCTTTCGTGGGCTAGAACCCACTTCATCAGATGCATGGAGTGGAAAATACAGTAGCAGGTATAAATACACAGCACATGAAAGGATGGGAGTTGCCTTACCAAGTGGGAGGTCAGTCTAATGAGACAATTCAATTAACAGTAGGATACCAAGGGAGGAAAAATCACTTTTGTAATAAAAAAATAAAAAGGAGGACTTGTGGCACCTTAGAGACGACAAATTTATTTGAGCATAAGCTTTCGTGAGCTACAGCTCACTTCATCGGATGCATGCCACAAGTACTTTTTTGTGTGTGTGTGCGCGGATACAGACTAACACGGCTGCTCCTCTGAAACCTGTCACTTTTGTAATGGTAATGAAAGTGGCCCATTTCAAACTGTTGACAAGAAGTAACAGTAGGGGGAAATTAGGTGTAGGTTTTGTAATGACCCAACCACTCCCAGTCTTTATTCAGGCCTAATTTGATGGTGTCCAGTTTGCAAATTAATTCCAGTTCTGCAGTTTCACGATTGGAGTCTGGTTTTGAAGTTTTTTTTATTGAAGAATTGCCACTGTTCTCCTACTGGTTTTTGAATGTTATAATTGCTGATGTCAAATTTGTGTGCAGGACTTCTACTCCCTCCCTGAGTTTCCTCCTTTTCCCTCTCTAAACCTAGAGACTGACTGCAGGCTTCCACACTGCAGCCTCCTTCTACCCTCTCTTCCTGGCCTTATACCAGTCCTGCTTTCTCCTGTCTAGCTTCTGTTCATCTTCTGTAGGTGTTTGCCAATCAAGCTTAACTATCCTTTAAGTGTGGACAGTCAAGTTACTTAACACCTCCCTCTCTCCAGCAGCCACCTTAATCCTTTTCCGGGGTAGTGTGGCATCACAAGATCTGAATTTTTCATGCAAAGAAACAAGCAGAAGGAGAAAGTTTATACATCATCGGATAAAGGCATGAACACATTTTCCTGCCTTCTCAAGTCACCTTTAAATCAGGAGCAAAACTACAGACTTTAGTGGACCTGGTGTTGCTGTATGCTAGCAGCAGCATCTCAGCCCATTGCAATTCAGACACAACTAAACTCTTCCGTGAAACTCATTGTGACTCCTTGGAGAAAGTTGACATGAGAAATTCTCTCACTGATGGAATGGAGAAAACTAAATGCCTTTGCCTCTATGGGTACAACCAAATCAGAGGCTGTACAGCTGTACTGTACCTTGGCAGGGGGTTAGACTGACCCTTGTGGTCCCTTCCAAACCTATGATTTTATGATTCTACCTGTATCCTGTGGCTATATCAAGGATGGTTGGTACATAAATTGTATATTGTAATATCTGTTTGATCTACAGGGTCTCCCACTTCCAGATTTTGTAACAACTCTCTCTGCTCTTGACATATAATTTTATTTTTTTATCAGCCAAGCCCTTTTGGATTTTTTTCCCCAACTCCCGTACTTGGATTTCCTGCCACCCCACCCCCCCCCCCCCCGAGTGTTTTTTGGGACCTTGCATTTTAATCTACTCAATCAAGGCTACCTATACATGGGTGATTGTATATTTATTGCAAAGTAAAATTGTGGCCAAGTATATGCTCTTGCTGTATATTTGTAACAACAATATAGAGATTTACTTCCAGAAATCAAGGGTGCACTATATAGTGTAAGAAACTAGTTAACACTCTAAATGTTGTGGTGCCAATTTCTTGGAATGGCTTAGTTTTCAAGCACGATAGGTATGTTAAAAACGATTAAAGCAGACTCATGACTCCCAGTATTGCATAAGGGGCTATAATGTAGCATCTAACACCTGTGGTGTGTTTGGTTGTCAACGTGTTTATGTTGTGCTTATCACCACGTCTTGAGTTCCTCATGGCTTCTAAACTTTCTACATCAATGAAGTAGATGAATGGGGGCAGACCCTCACCTGGTGTAAATGGTCATAGCTCCACTGAATTTAATGGAGTTATGACACTTTACTCCAGCTAAGGATCTGCCCCATCATTCCCAAATGAAGCAGCTTTGGGAATGCTGGGGCCATGCCACTTACAAGCTTGGGGTATATTTTTCTGGCTCTTCCATAATTTTATCGTCACATCTTTATTTGCTATGTTAATTTACTTCAGCCACCCTGGGATTGATTTTATTAAGGCAGTTGTGGTACATCCCCTAGCCTGGAAGCATTGTTTTAAACTGCAGGAATCTGGCCATCAGATAAAAATCTGTCAATTTAAACATTAAACCTTACCCAGCCTGGTGCATTGCCTTTCCTGTGAAATAATGACCTGGCAGCACCAAGCTAATGGGCCCTATAGGTCATTCCCTGGAATCTAACCATAATCAGCCTTTAATCCTGCAGGGAATTAACTTTGCCAAGGACAATATTAAGAGTTTATCCTTCTCCTCCCCCCTCAAGCTCATGATTTATTCTTGTGCACAAAAGCTCTCTCTTGCCTTAGTCATTCTAGGCCTGACCCAACGTCTATAGAAGAACCCCCTTCCATGGGTTTTGGAGTAAGCTCCTATGTCCCCTTGGGGAGAGAGACCCAAAATTTCCGCTGACTTCTATGAGTATGAAGTGTGCTCAGCACTTCACAGGGCCTAGGTCCTGGGTCCCTGCAGGTTGTGTCCTTAATCCCTGGATATTAGAAACGAGTGACTTTCCCCCCATTAATCTGACTATTGTATTGTGTAAATTACTATGCTTGTTAATAAAAGCATCCAATCAGTAGCTTATGCTGTTAATACAGGGCTGCTGGACCAGCGGGAGTACTGTGCCTAGCCCTAGGAACAACGCGCTGCTCCTACTGTCACAACCAAACTGAACTAAATCTTGAGTCCTGAAGTTTCCTAGCCGCCTGCCAGCCAGCAAGCCCCGCTCGGAAGAGCTGCGCCCACGGGAGGGCTGGAGAGCGAACCGGTCCCAGCGCCAGCTGCTTCCTAGGGCTGCGTCTCCCAGCCGCAGCAAGTGCATCCAGCTGCGATGAAAGGAGCGTCTGTAGCTAGGGCTGAGGCTTCCCCGCAGAGTCATGCGGAACGTGAGGGACGTGCCTGCAGCCGGCAGCCCACACCTCTGCCTGCCTTTTGTGTCGCTTCCCGGAGCCCCAAGGGGGGGTGCAAAACTCAGTTCACGCGCTGAAATGCAGCCTGGCTTTCCATTAGGAGGGGAAACGATCGATATTAAATATAAAATATAATTTTACTATAAAAATAAGCTCCTGATCTCCGGTTGCATAAAGGTTAGGGGAGCCTGAATGGGGCAGACGGCAAAAGGATAAGAGTCAGGGATTTTTCTTTGTTGGTTTAAATACAAAATCTTTGCATTTATATTTCACCCCTTAATAGGGGGAGATCATCCCCGTGCATTGTGTATACACAATATACAGGGAAATAATCCATTGATATTTGGCGTATATCTCAGGGAAATAATCCATTTGGGATTTAGTGTATTCACAGTACAGTTCAGTGAAAATACTTATATGTAGCCATATTTTAGAGCTACTATAAAGTACATTAATTTCCCCTTCATCTATACAAATGCATATGAGAACTTTCCCCTTATCGTTTCCAGATTTTTATATATGACTGTGCAATAAACGTGTACTGTATATATATTATACACGTAGTGTGTGTATAAAATATGCATGCAGGGGTATTTACCAGTGGGTATTGCACCCAGGCTAGTATATAATGCTAGATCGAGAATGTATACAACATGCATACATGGGAGCGATACGGTGCTCTCTTAACATTATTCTAGAGTCGCGTAGATTATCCGTGCCATGTATGGATTTTCTGCAAGCTTGTCTCACTGATGCGAGTCCTTTGTCTAAGAAAAAATTGATTGCAAATTCCCCCGGGTGGCTGCAACTCGCCTAGCCGCCACGCGACGGCAGCAGGGTTTGCTTCTCCCACGCCGGCTGCTCCCTGCAAAGAATTTCCCCCGCCCTTGCCGGCTAGGGGCGGGCTGTGGGTGACGCAGGGTTTGCCGGCCGGTCTTTCGCCGCAGAAATAGCTGGGACGAGGTGGGAGCCGGGGCATTCACACGAGAGAGGCAGGAGGTGGAGGAACGCTCCCAAGAACCCGTCCCCCCGGCATTCCCCGAACGGCTCCCGCAGAGGGAAGCCCCCGGGGAAATTCCGCCCGCCGAGCAGCGTTGCAGGGGCGTGAGAGTGGCTGGTCGGCGAGAATCGAGCCCTCTTGTCCCGGGGAACACGTGCCGCTGGTTTTAACTCTCAGTCGCTGCTGGGATTCCCTCCCCGCCAGGCAGGGTCCCGGCCTTACTTTGCAATCACTGCGTGGTCAGAAGCCTTAAGACTAGCTGTAAAGACATCAGGTGCTTGTAAAAAAAAAAAAAAAAAAAAAGCCCCTTTTTATTCTCTTCCCCGTGCATCTATCCACCAAGGCGGACGCGGAGCGCAAAGCGACCTTGGTTATAAACATGCCCATGGAGCTGACGCAAAGCCGGATCCAGAAGATTTGGCTCCCCAATGATAACCGCCCCGCGCTGCCCCGCAGATGTGAGTATAGTGCGGGAGGGAGGGGGGCGGAGGGAGGACAGATGTGTGGGAATGGGGGGCAGGGAGGAGGGATAAGCCTTAGCGGTGCCCGCACCTACGTAGAGCAGAGCCAGGCTCTGTGCGCGCTGATGCACCACGGGTGTATTTCACTTGCGGTGTCTTTGCGGGAGTTGGTGGGCGTGGGGGGAGCTGCGTGCGCCACACGCCTTCCTAGACGATGTGAGTGGGATGCTGGGGGGGGGGCTCCCCTCGGTGTCATTGATTTATCCCTTGGGGTGAGCATCACCCCGTATTTTAAAACGGATCGTGGGCGCTGTTTGCAAGAGTACACGGGGGCGTAGGACGATTGCACTGGAGAGCAGTGGGAACGGGCACCGGAGACGCGAATGCCGGCCAGGCTCCGGGCAACGGCGTTTCCCGAGAAATCAAGCGCGGTCCTGTATTTGGACAGGTCGCTTGTCCCGTGTGTCCCTCCGGCGGGAGGAACATACTCCCACGTCTGCACCGACGGGCTGACCTGGGGCAGCGCATCCGCGTGAGGCTGAGCAGGGAGGCGCAGCTCCCGCGGACGGGGGGTTTGCTGCACGCGGTGCGCCGGGCGAGCTGGGCGCCGGCATGGGCGCGTCTCCGGCCCGTGGTTCCGCGTCTCCGCGTCCTCAGGGCTGCCGGCGGCGGACGCGCGGGTGACCCGACGTGCTCCCGAGCCCCGATCTAGCCGCAGCGCGCCGCCTCCGGCTGCACGCATGGCTGGAGGCGGGGACTGCTGCTGGCGCGTGTCTCCTCCGTGCCGGGGCGGGGTGGGGGAGACACACAGGCTGGAAGTGGCGATGGGTTTGCCGCATCCGACAGCGCATTGCTCCTCGGCTGAGGGGACGGGACCAGGGATCTGTAGTGCTGGGAGGTGGCTGATGTGGCTTCCCCACGGGTAGCCTTGCTGGATTGGGTGGGAGAGGGAGGGGGGAGAGCATGGATGCCGCATTTTCCCTCCTTCGTTGTTCCCATTTCTTCCCCCATAAGGGAGATCTGAGCCCGGCGCAATCCCACCTCCCTCCAAAAGAAACCCCTGCGCCTAATTCTCCTCTCTGTTAAGGAGCTGCAGAGGATGCATTCCCAATCTGCATCTCTATAGCCCCTTGCACCAAGGGCTCTCCAAGTTCTTTATAAACATTAATTAATTAAGCCTCATATACTATCCCCTGAAGTAAGCGCCAAAGCACGTGTCTCTCACCTGCGGAAGCTGGTCCCATAAAAGATGTTCCCTCACCCGCCTTCTCTCTACTATCCTGGGGCTCACAGGGCTACAACAACGCTACCTCATACCATCCCCGATCTTTCCCCAAGAGAGCTGATTAAAGTGTTTCTCCCCTGGTGTAGCACTGGAAAGTCCCATTGCCTTGAGCAAGAACTAAAGTCTATAGCGTTCCTCTCTCAGCAGGAGACAAGTGGCGGTGGCTGGCTGCTGCCGGAGTGGTGGGTCACCTGTCTGTGTGCCTTCACCTAGCTTCCCATGGGCTCCTCCAATACAGAGAAATTTGAAAGGACAACCCACCCTATCAGGGGATGCTAATGCTGATCTCTCTAACCCACTTTCAGAGCCCCTGACGTACTGATGGCCTGGCAAATGCCACCTAATTGTGTAAAATTATATGTAGGATTACAGGGGGGTGATACACAGGACTCAAGCTGTTAACCTGTTTCACTCATGTTTTATTTCGGCTGGGATTGTCAAAAGCCTGATTCTGCTTGGAGTTTTACCATTGACTTCAATGGGAGCAGACTTAGCGCTGGAAAGTCCCTCAACCTTTGCTTCCATGTGCAAAACGAGCTGCATAAGTGACTTGATTTTGTTAACTGACGGTTGTGATCCCTTAGGAGGGAGGCGAAAGAGATAAGCGGTGTGAATAATAAAGCTGAAACATTAGCTTCATAATTTGATTTTTTTTAAAACTGACATGAATGGAAAGCCTCATGGTCAAAAAAAAGAACCATTCAATTAAAATAAAAAAGCAAACACCGGAATCATGTTGGGGCTGCTGCATCAAATATAAATTTTGACCTTTTGGGAGTCGGTCAACTTATATGTAAGCAAAGCTGTAAAGATGCAAGTCACATAACTTCGACCATTACTAAATAAGCATTCTAGAAACCTTTGCACAACCTTTGCTGTTGTGAGGTGAGGATTGCTTGTACTCTGCACTCTGGGAAGATACAGAAGTAACTTGGGCAGTCAGAGATACTAGTCTTGTCTTTTAGCTAAGTGTTATCATTTCAAAGTAGCTTGTGCATTTGTGTCCCTTGACCAGAAACACTGCCCCTTTAAACAGCTGGGGTTAAAAACCAGCCACTGATTGTGCTGGCTCTCTTGCCTATGAAATATGTAAGAGAGTGTGTGTCTTGATGTGTGTGTGTCTTGAATGCCAATGCGATTTTACAACAAATAAGGAAAACAAATGTGGTCTCTGGTCCTATAGAGAAAACTCTGTGATATTTTCCCAATGGATTTGCTAGTCAAATTAAATGAGATTTTTTTGGCTGGAGAAATTATACAAGTGTTGCCAAAGCATAAGAAAAAAAGACCGACCCCTTGGGTTTCTGTCAGAGATGGTACAGTCTGCCCAGAACAGGGCTACGTGTGGGATTTGATACCCCCTGCTTTCCTTTGTCAGTCAGCTGTGTAGAGTAAACTGAGTAGGAAATAGCTTTATGGAGAAGGCTGCATATCTGTGTGGCAGCAGGACCTTGATTTCTGCAGGATAGCACGTCTCCTGTCTGGGGAAATTCACTATATAGTTAGCAGATGGGACTTTTACAGGGTACTCCACTTAGGTGTTTGTCTTTTTAAAGAAATCCTTATAAAACAGATATGGCCCTATATTCGGTACTCCACAGTCATCAACCTCAATTGCTGAGGGAGAGAGAGCTTGTGATGTATTTTGGTTTATCAAGACTTCCCTGGAAGTGCTAGTTGATGTGATAATGGAGTTTGTAATTACTCTGTGTTAACATGGAATGGGTCCCCTCGGGGGTGATTCCTAATAATCTGTTGGAATATACTTCTTTAATTTGATTCATTTGGGCATCAAGGACCCTCCCCCCTCCCGCAGCTGCTCCATAAAAGTAAAACAAGGAGCACAAACATCACTCCAGACTGCAGAGCAAATCCTGAGCTACAATAGAGATTCTTATCTGATGCAAATAGCATGAAATCCCAGGGAAAGCAGGGAGTGATAGTGTCTCTTTTAAGCATCATCAAAAAGCTTCCTGGGCCAACAGCTTTAATTATTTCATATGCACACACGCAGAAAAATTCATCTCCTTGGCTGACTTCTTGCTAGGAGAGATTGAATGGATGTCAAAAGATGCCTTCCTCCCGCCTCTGGATGGTGATCCATTAAATTTCTGTCAAGTTGCACGTCTCTCACGTAGTCTGTGAAGCCAAGTTATAGCAGACGGCTTAATGGGCAGAGCCACTCACTTTACAAGAGGGGGGGTGTGCATGGAATATTTGAGGTTGCATGGCTGGTACTTTTCTTTTCCTTCATCCTAGCTCAACATGCATGTGTACCTACATATGTTTTGTGTGTGTGTGTGTGTTCAATTATATACCTAATATATGTATACTGTGTGTGTTGTGCGCATGCAAGCAATTCTGTGGTGTCAAGTCCCAGAGTACATACCAACACACGCACCCACCATGCTGAAGAGCACCATAGAAATGCTATATGCACTAATTTTACCAAAGTGTTTTTATCTCTCTCTCTATAAATCTGTGTGCACATGTGCATATATATTCTAATAAAATATATGCATTGTAGAAAAGTCTAGACAGGTATATTACACACACCTTTTTTGCAGCCTCTCCTAACCCAGTGTCATTCTGTTGTTTGTCGTGATCTTGCAGCTTGTATTCTTGCAGTCTGTTTGGCATAAACTAACAGTCTTTATTTAGATAGTAAAAATAAAAATTGATTGGGGGGATTTTCTATTTTAAACTCAGGTTGGTAGTAGCAGGAGATCCCCCCCCACTCACACAGTTTGGTGAATATCATGGTACATTGGGAAATGTTTGCACTGATTTTTGTGCTTCTAAAGATCCTCGCTGAATCCTCTTTACAGTTGGAACTTGGTTTTGGTTACACTGAAATATGTATTATTTTTAGTGGAGGCCAGAAAGGATTAGCTGAATCTTTGGTTCATTTTATGTGCTCCATGGTTTGCACCTTTCCAGGTTTTTCATTGAGTTCCCGTAAACGTCACTGAAAGACTCTCACTGACTTTGGTGGACTTTAGATCAGGTTCTTAACAAGGAAGCACACATACAATTCCCAGCTGCTACTTCTCTTTAGGAGACTCTCCCCAATCCTGAGTTTATAGACCTTCCTTAAAATGCATCCGATGGAAAAATTGCCAAATGAAGATGCTCTGCTCCTGCAACTCCCATTAAAGTCAGTGGGAGCAGTGTGTGTGCTCAGACTCCAGGACCTCTGAGGATCAGACCCTCAGATTTGCAGATTTGCCTGTGTGTATGTGTATGCTCATCCTTATAGGGTCAGATTTAATTAACTGGAGTATAAGAATAATGAAATATTTAGTGGAGCGAACAGTCCAGTTCCCTTCTCTGTTCAAGTATCTATTTATTTTTAACGCCGAGCACGCTTGGCAAAACTCCTCTTGGCTCAGGGTTGTGGATCTTTTTTCTGCTGTGGGGGAAGGGAGCAAATTAAGTTTCTTCTTTCATCTCTCACCCTCTCTAGCCAATGGTGAGACTTCAGCAGTGCTGGTGTGAGTGTAGAGATGGGGAAACACCTGCAATGCTGCCCTGAGGTCTGGGATTGGGGATCTCTTGTAGGGTGACCAGATGTCCTGATTTTATAGGGACAGTCCCGATTTTTGGGTCTTTTTCTTATATAGGCTCCTATTACCCCCGCCCCAATTTTTCACACTTGCTGTCTGGTCACCCTAATCTCTTGTAATAGCTGCAGCCCTGATTTGGTGAGCTCAAATGGGAAAGTTGGGGGAACTCTTCTTTAATCCTGCCCTGCAGACCCCAGAGTCGAGATGGTAATTCAGGAGAGGAAGGCTGAACAGACCCGCCAATTAATTTTTCTTTTCAGATTTGCTTTAGCATTTTACTGGAGTCTTTTAAGACCTGCTTAATTTTTTTTTCCTTAGCACAAGAAAAACTTGTGTGTAGGTTTTTTGTTGTTTTTTTTTAAATTAAAGTTAACCATTCTGTCATTCTTGGATTTTTTTCAGTGTTGACCCCCTATTGGCTAAGATCCAGTCCTCTGTTAGCTATATCAGGCACTGGCAAGAGGAATGACTCAAGGATATAATCGGTCTTTTTCATTGTTGCTATAATTTTGTACCAGGCTGTCCTTTTTCCAATAGCTTTAGGGTTTTTTTTGGATGCAAGGCGGTAGAAATCTGTCCTGATCTAGATGCACAGGAATTTACATAGACACTGAAAGGAATCTACACCCCTTAAATTTGGCTGCGACTCCCAAATCTAGTTTGAGACAAGTCCCATCCCCCTTCCCTTTCAGCAATCTGCCTCTTGCTTGCACTATCCAAAATTATTGGTGGAGCTCAGCAAATCACATGATCCAGATGGATCTGATGCGGCCGGATGAGATCGGAGTCCTGTTTATTGCGTGCACAATACTCAGCTTCATTCTATGTGGTTATTACGTTTATTTTTGTTGCTGTAATCACAAAAGACATTCGCTCCTTGCATGCCATTCTGATGAGGCTGACAAACTAGGCAGAACTATCAGTGTGTAAGGAATGGAGGGAAAATGTCCGTGAAAGGCTTGTGTATAAAAATGACGACTGCAGAGAACTTCACTCTGAGTTGTCCATGGGTGACTCTTACTTAAGGCTCTTTTTATGCTTAGCATGAAGACCAGGAGGTTTTGCATGTGGGATGCCAAGTAGCATTAAGGAACGCAACTATAATCCAGATTCTGTTATGCCATCAATGACAGCTGTCATCCTTTCTTGCATTTTTCTATACTTGGTGTAAGTGTCAGTCCTTTCCCTTGAGGTTTAGGAGCATGTCCTATGAGTTTCTCTTCCCTTGTGGAGCAGCGGGAAGACCTTGTTGGGGGTGGAGATGTCTAAATATGAGAGAAATTTGGCTCAGAATCCTTGCTACTTTTTGGTCATGTAATTAGGTTAAAAGAGGAGGGATCTTTATTTTAACAGTTAACCTGCTGCTGTGTCAGTGGTTTTACTAATATCCTCTCTGAACTGAATTTCAATCCATTGACACAGGTCGGGCTTTAAATTTTAAAAAGTACCTGCTTCAAAATAGCTTTCTATACACGTGGTAAGCGGTGGAGGCTGTAATGGACCATTTTATTCTTAAATGTCACTTTCTGAATGGCCACAGCTCTGCAGCTAATGTGTATCATTCTATTTCTGTCCTTTTTCAAGCTCAAGGGGGTGGTCAGTTGCATGTCTGTGTTAAGTTAAAAGCTGTTACTCATTCTAAGAAAGCTGGTTGGAAGGGACTGTCCAGTGGGTTTATAGCCTTCTCTTTCAGGGCTTTAGAGACCTGCAGTCATGTCTGCAAGTTTAAGTGCAGCAGTCACATCTTAGTCTTTCATGGATTTTTTTCCGCATCATAAATCCAGTACCTAATTTGGATCTCTTCCTGAGCACAGACAGACAGGACTAGAATGGGCAGGGCGGTTCTGCAGGACCCAATGGAGGTATATTTGCTGAGTGGGGAAAGAAGTCTGAGCAAGGCCTGCCCTATGCCTAGGTCTGGCTAGTATTGTTGTGCCTTGCATTTGTGAGCACCAGTTTTGCACTCTGTTACAGGAGTGAAGTAACTAAAGGCCATTTCAGTGAGAAAGTCACTTGCAGTGAAGCACGTTTACACTTCTCTGTGTCCCTGGGATGTTCAGGACACCGTACTCCCAAGCACCTCGTTGTGAAAGGACTTCAAGAACACTTGAGTCTTGTGGGAGTGGAGTAAGGAAGCAAAGTCACAAAGTGGGGACTGGGAGTGGTTTAACTTGACCCCATCCGCCTGCAAGTTGATACTGTAATCACCCAACTCCAGAATGCCCTCGCCTGTGCGCGATGCCATCTTGGCCGTGGCAGCAGCAGAGAGCGTTAGCCAGGTGCCCGTTCTGCTCGGGCACGTGTGATCCGTGAACTCCTTGCTGCTACGGCAGGCCTATAAATGAAGCTGGCACCAGTTGGACCAGCTTCAGTCAGTGCCTTTTGAATCCCAGTGAACTACCCACTTGTATAGAAGACGGTCTAGATTGCTGGAAAGTCATATGCAGGAGGCGGCCCCTTAAAGTCCCAAAGAGCTCGGACACTGAGTAACGCTTCTGGGAACCAGGTTCTGAGGAGAAATATCTTGTGTTTCAAACCAACAAACCAAACATAATGAATCATACCATTGTAGCCTGAATTCCCCTAGCTCTTTATTGAAGTAGTCCACCAGTGTCCCTGTCAAGGTTCCTCCCCCACTCTGAACTCTAGGGTACAGATGTGGGGACCTGCATGAAAAAACCCCTAAGCTTATCTTTACCAGCTTAGGTCAAAACTTCCCCAAGGTACAAAATATTACACCCGTTATCCTTGGAATGGCCGCTACCACCACCAAACTAATACTGGTTACTGGGGAAGAGCTGTTTGGACGCGTCTTTCCCCCCAAAATACTTCCCCAAAACCTTGCACCCCACTTCCTGGACAAGGTTTGGTAAAAAGCCTCACCAATTTGCCTAGGTGACTACAGACCCAGACCCTTGGATCTTAAGAACAATGAACAATCCTCCCAACACTTGCACCCCCCCCTCTCCTGGGAAATGTTGGATAAAAAGCCTCACCAATTTGCATAGGTGACCACAGACCCAAACCCTTGGATCTGAGAACAATGAAAAAGCATTCAGTTTTTTAAAAGAAGACTTTTAATAAAAAATAGCAGTAAATAGAAATAAAGAAATCCCCCCTGTAAAATCAGGATGGTAGATATCTTACAGGGTAATTAGATTCAAAACATAGAGAACCCCTCTAGGCAAAACCTTAAGTTACAAAAAAAGTACACAGACAGAAATAGTTATTCTATTCAGCACAATTCTTTTCTCAGCCATTTAAAGAAATCATAATCTAACACATACCTAGCTAGATTACTAACTAAAAGTTCTAAGACTCCATTCCTGTTCTGTCCCTGGCAAGAGCAGCACACAGACCCTTTGTCCCTCTCCCTCCTCCCAGCTTTTGAAAGTATCTTGTCTCCTCATTGGTCATTTTGGTCAGGTGCCAGCGAGGTTACCTTTAGCTTCTTAACCCTTTACAGGTGAGAGGAGCTTTCCCCTGGCCAGGAGGGATTTCAAAGGGGTTTACCCTTCCCTTTATATTTATGACAGTCCCTGTGAGGTGGGGGAGGTATTATTGTCCTCATTTTATAAATGGGGAAACTGAGGCACAGAGGGGTGATGTGACTTGACCAAGGTCATGCAGGAAGCCTGTGGTAGAGCTGGGTGTCGAACCATGTCTCCTAATATTGAGCTTCATCTGTAAGACTGTCTGCCTTCCCTCCCGGTACGTCAGTGCTTAGGGGAAGAGGGGTGCATTCATAGTCAGATAACGATTTCCACTTCCCATGCACTGTAGGTCACAGAGGTGACGTCTCAAGTATTGCTTGGTTTCGTCAGGCCACTGCATCAGGCTTCGTTACCCAGTGACCCCAGAGCTGTCTGCTGCCCGTCTCTGCTCAGTCTGACATGTTCATTCAGCAGATCCTGTTGCAAAAATGAGTCAGCAAATTTGCAGACTCGAGGCTTCAGTGCCTGGCGCCAGTTGTTCTGGTGGGGAGAAGGAAGACTAAAGAGGGAGGTATTAGATTTCCTCCTGCTGTCGATGTACTGAGGGGATGTTGGAGCAGTAGTAAGCGCCCTGATGCCTGCTTTGTCAAACCTCGCAGGGATGATGCTGAGGGATTATAATGGCTGCTTGTGTGTTTTCTCCCCTCATTGTAGCCTGCGGGCCACAGCTTACCAATTCCCCCACTGTGATCGTTATGGTTGGCCTTCCAGCTCGGGGGAAGACCTATATCTCCAAGAAGCTGACTCGCTACCTCAATTGGATTGGCGTCCCAACAAAAGGTGAGGCCCCAGCCCTGGTTCCTGCTAGAAGATATGTGCCCTGGTCCACTGGGGACGTGACTGTGGAGTTAAACACTCCAATGGATTGAGCCTGACAGGATCTCCCTCTTCCGTATCCATCTGGGAGAGAGATCCTTGGGAGGGGATCCTGACTGCATGGTGGCTTCTGCCTGCCCCCTACCCCTGCCAGTGATGAGATGCTACAGAGATGTTAATTTTTCGCCGAGGGGGCCAAGCCCATTTGGTTTGTTTATCGAAAGGGCTTGTATGAGGGATTTCCCAAAGCCTTTTGCGCCTCCTCCTCCAAGGGTGAATCTGGCTCTCGGATCTGTCCAGAGAGTGTGGGCACTTGCCAGAAGCTCCTTGCAGTGGGCTGTTGGGCCCAGCCATGTTTGACACCCTTGTCGCTGGGATCCCTGGAGAATGTCTGCTGGAGATGCTATTTTCGTAGTGCGGGTGTTAGAGAGAGAGGGGGTTAACCCTTTTCCTGCCAGTCTCTGGATGGATTCCCGTACATACTGTCGTGCTCCTCCTGGAGCCTGCTGAGCTGTGTATGGGACATACCACCTGTCCCCTTTCCAATGCTGTACTCACTGCCTGCCTTCACCTTGCAGTTTTCAACGTGGGAGAGTATCGCCGGGAGGCGGTGAAGCATTACAGCTCCTATGACTTCTTCCGCCCCGACAACGAGGAGGGCATGAATGTCCGGAAGTAAGTTTGCTGTTGTCTTGTTCCGTTAAGCCGCCCGTTCTCTTTGAGCCAAAATCTGCTGTAAATTGGATTTAACCCTTCCCCCTGATTTGAAGGGAATTTCTCTGGAGTTAGAGCAGTGTAACTGGAAGCACGATCCGACCCGGTCTCTTAACATTTCCCCTGCTGCCTCACCCCCACCCAGCTTCTCTGTCGGTTTCTCATTCAGGGCTTAAGCCCAGATCCTGAAAGGGATTTAGGCACCAGTTCCCTTTGATGATCTGAGCCTTCGGGCCTGATTTTTTTCAGACGTGCTGAGCACCCACAGCTCCCTTTGACTTTAGCTGAACTTTTGAGGGGGCTCCGCACTTCTGAAAAGCGAGTCCTGAGAGAATCGTCCTTGGAGCCCAGGGATTCCCCCGCCCCAGGCCAGGCTATTGACGTTCCTGGTTTGGGGTTCTGTGGTGAGAAAGCGGAGTGCAGCTCCCTCTTAGCTTGTCAGAGCCACCAGAAAGTGCAAGGCCACCCACTGTCCATTGAGGTGTTGAATAATATTTAGCCTGCAGAGTGGCTGCATGTTCACAGAGCGCTATAGCTGTTATCTAACCAGGCGCTCACAGGAAGTCAGGATTGAGGTCCCCATCTGCAAAATGGGCAAACCTTATGGATGTGAAGCCACTTGCCAGTGGCCTCGCGGTAAATGCCAGAACAGGGGCTTTTGGCCGCACAGCTCCGGACCGTCAATCAGGGGATGTCAGTCCTTGCACATACCAGGAGTTGTGGGTTGTGGGAAGGTTAGGAGGAGTTGGAACTTTAAGGCTTCTTCTTTAGGACCAATCCACTGGGTCTTACAAGCATCTCTAATTACTTAAGAAACACATCTCTCTCTTCCTCTGCTACAGACAATGTGCCTTAGCCGCCTTGAGAGACGTCAAGTTGTACCTGTCGGAGGAAGGTGGCCAGATCGCGGTAAGTTCAGATAGGGGTCTGCTAGTTGAAACAAGAGGCCTCTTTCCATCCTCAAAATACTCCCTTGTCAGTGTGTGCTGAGACAGTCCCCCAGTGAAACTCCATCCTGCGGCCCGTCTTCTACACACTGGAACAGTGCCTTGGGGAAGAGGCCATTCCCATCATTACAGGACTTCAGATTCTGTTTTCCTTAGATGCTCCCATCACCACAGTATCGAGAGCCTCACAAACCTGAACAAAGTCTTCCTCACAGCTTCCCTATGAGTATTCTACCTGCTGCCTGTAGGGTGAAAACAGGCTGAGGAATTAAGTGATTTGACCAAGGCTACAAAGGAAGTTTGTGGTGGGAGAGCCAGGAACTGAACCCACAACTTCAGTGCCTTAAGACCATCCTTCCTTGCACACTCCATTAAATCCACAGGATCCCTTTTGCTCCCTTACTTGCCTTCTGAAGGTTTTTACTGCCATGGTTTTGTTCTAAGATAGAAAGGCTTAGAACTGAATACTGCCTTAAGTGATGAATTTATTACTTTTTTTTTCTGATTCTAAACCCCAGCAAATATATTGTCAAACAATATTCCCCTCTTCCCCTCCCCCGAAAGCTATTTAAATGTCCCCTGAAGATGACCGCCCTGGCATTTTTATTGTATAGGTTTTTGATGCTACCAACACAACAAGGGAGAGAAGAGGAATGGTCTTAAACTTTGCCAAAGAAAATGGGTTCAAGGTCAGTATACACCAGACTTTTATCTATCTAAGGTATTTACATGGCCTGCGTTACCATAGTATCTGAGTATCTCTCAGGCCTCACAACACCCCTTTGAGATGGGGAAGTGCTGTTTGACAGATGGGAAAACAGAGGCACAGAGAGACTTAGGCCCTAGGCCCAGGTCCTCAATTGAAGGTATTTAGTTGCCTAACTTGGGAGTGAGGAGTCTAAATACCTTTGAGGATCTGGGCCTAAGTGCCCAGGGTCGCACAGGGAGTCTGTGGTGAAGCAGGGAATTGACCCTGGGTTTCCAGAGCCCAGGTTAGTGGGAACCAAGCATAAGAACATTTCCACCCTACTCCCCCCTAAGATCTCCAAGCCAAGGAGAATAAAATAGATGAGCTGGTGAGAGGGGAAACTTTCTGCCATATGGTGGATTAGAAAATAGTTTTGAAACAGTCTACTCCGAATTGCATGGAGTGGTTAGAGGAGACATCAGGCTGGATGTAATAAACTCCCTATGTTTCACTGCCAATCTTCAACTGGCGTTTGCCTTGTCTTCCAGGTGTTCTTCATTGAATCTGTTTGCAATGACCCATCCGTGGTTGCCACCAATGTTATGGTGAGAATGGAAAGCTATTAACTATTTCTAAATCCTGTATGTGCACAGATTGTATTTGACCCTAGCTGGTGATCTGCTTATTGTACTTCAGCGGCACTGGGATAATTTACACCAGCTGAGGATTTTTAGTTTTTATCTGTCTCGGGGCAGAAAGTGTGTAAAGACTGTCTGGCATCAGCCACTTCAGGACTATGCAAAAGCGTTTGAATACAGCCGTCACTTTCAATCTTTTCTGTGCTCCCAATCCCCGTTCTTTTAATACGTACTGCCATACCTCAGCTTTTGAACAGTCTCTTGGAGGAAGCCCTGCAGTGTGCCAGGACCCCCTCCCCCCGGCTATGGGGGTCTCACTGTTCCTTCAGAGAAGGCCACACTGCTTCATGGCCTCCTAGACTGAGCTACTGGGCTCCAGCAGCCCTGCTCTGCTCAGCAAGTCCAACGGAGGTAGACTCCTGGTAGAGATGTGTATTCTCTTCAAGGACTGATGCACCCCAGCTGGTATTTGCAGTGCCACCCCCAAACAGCATTTTCAAAACAGAGCAGGGTTTATTAGTCAAGTGGAACACAACATTGGAAGTCCTTAGGTTAGCACAGAGAAATGAAGGTTAAAGGGTAGTCCATCCTGGTCAAGCCACAATTCACCAGCCAAGCTCTGGTGAACTCCATTTTCAAGCTCTTTCTCTCGTTGACTTCCTTCCTCAGTCCATTCCAAGCCCCGAGCTTCTTCCAGAAGCCATCTCTTATCCCCTGCTGGTCATGTCTGTCCTTTGTTCTCCAGGCAGGATCATGCTGAGTTCACAACCCCCCTGGCCGGAGCTTCCTGCTGGTGAGACTCACGTTATGAGTCACTGGAGCTTGCATTGTGTTTCTGGACCCCTTGTAGATCTGGGCTGGTTTCAGCCAGTTTCTTAATGACTCTAATTGTTCTACCCAGACAGAGGTGACACACATCTATATTTTGTAGTCTGCCCTGAGAGCGAACTTAATCCTTCTCCCACTACTTAGTAGCAATCCAAAGTATGGGGGAAACTGAGGCACACGTATGACTCATAAAAATATTACAAAATATTGCCACTTTGTCACAATAACTTAATAACAAATGTGCTTAAGTGGCTGGATTATAAATCCCGTTTTCAAAAATGACCTTGAAGCCCAAATCTCAGTGAAAGTCAGTGGGACTTAGGCTCCTAAGTCACTTCTGTGCTTTTTGAAAACTTTACTCAAGGTCTGCTATTAAACAGATGCACAAGAAAAGACAGTAACCCAGGCCTCACTGTGCACGTTTTTTTAGCTAGGGAAGAAACATTAATGGCATGCAACTTCCTTCTTGAGAAACTGTCTTTCTGATGTATTGCCCTGCCTGTGCCTGTGTCAGAAGAGGTGACCCCCTGTCTTAGGGTTGGCTAGAGCAGAGAGGGGCTTTTTTTTTGTTTCTTTAATGAAAATTCACTTTCCCTGCTAACCTGTTACGAGGCACTGTTCCAACTGCCAATCTTATCTCCAGTTATACATCACAACTTTCCAAGTCGTTTTACAGCACCTCAGACTCCATTGGCTGGATGCCAAGAGTTCAAATGGTGTTTGTTCGTAGGTGACAAGGTTTTAGGGCATGGGTTTGTCTTGTATTGGTGTCTGGTGTCACCACAGATGAAGATGACTCATATCTCCCCTTTCCATAGAATTCCCTTAATGGTACTTGCTACCTACACAGTGTTGAGTTACATCCAGACAGATAAGGGTGCACCTGGGAACATCCTACACTTGAATGGGGCCCATCTTGTCACCCTCATACAAGCACAGCTCCTGTGAAGAAGTTCAGTGGGAGTTCGGTCTCCATGGGCAAAACCTTGGAGCGGACCAGATTTCTCTCTCTCTATCCTAACTCTTGATTTGGTTATTTCCCTTCTTATCTCTATGGATAGCGTACACCTTATTTTACACAAATCAATAACTTCCCTTCAAGTTAATTAATGAGGACGTGACTGGAGATAAAATTGGCTCCTACATGTATGTCAGTTTCTGCTTCACCGGACATTACAGATTAACAGTGTGTTAGTGCTCAGGTGCCATATAAGAAAATAAATTGTAGTAATGACAGCAACGACACAAGTAGGTAGTATGCAGTAGATATTCATGGATTAGGACCCCATTCTGCTCCGTGCTGTACAACTATCTTGCCTAAGGTTACTTGCTTCCCATGTTCCACTCTAACCACGTAGACATCACTGGTTCTCTTTACAAGTAGTTGGATGGTTTATTTTTTTCCCTTAGTATGGGTGTGTTCAGCCAACTTGTTAGGGAGCTGTGACTGTCACCGGACTCGCTTCTCTTTTCTTGGCAACAAAATACTGAGGCTAAATCACTGAGAAACACTTGAGCTAGGTAGCCTTTGATTCTGAGAGGAAATGGTAACCCAAGATACATGCTGCAGCCATGCGTTTACCCATCTTACACTTACCATTAGTTCTTACTTCTTTTATAATGCCAAAATTCCAGCTGTAAGTGGACTCTTTGTAGGTGGCTCTTGGAAGGCTTTTGACACCTGATATTAGAACAGCCTGATTGTTCCAAGACATATCGTGTTTGCACTGTCATTGACTGAGATGCTAGCTTTTGTCTGTACAGAAAGCTTTCTGATGACTCACTGATTTGCTTTCTGTGTTCCTGCAGGAAGTTAAATTGTCTAGCCCAGATTATAGGGACTGCAACTCAGCTGATGCCATGGAAGACTTTATGAAGAGAATCAATTGTTACCAGGCCAGCTACCAGCCGCTTGACCCAGATAACTATGACAGGTAAGGGGTTTTGCTTTGAAAGAGCTTGGCTTGGAGGTGATTTGTCTTGGAAGAAAAGGGTAATAAAATATAGATCTGTATTTCAGTGTCTGTTTGAAAAAGTGAATTTATTAGAAGAGAGGTGGGCAAACTACGGCCCGCAGGCCACATTTGGCTCGCAGGACTGTCCTGCCTGGCCCCTGAGCTCCTGGTCCAGGAGGCTAGCCCCCGGCCCCTCCCCAGCAGCCACGCTGCCGCAGGGCAGTACTCTGGGCTGCGGGGCTGCCCTTCATGCAGGGCAGCGCGTGTCTGGCTCTGGCCGGGCAGCGCGGCGGCCAGACATGCTGCTCTGAGCGGCATGGTAATAGGGCTGGGGCCGGGGGGTTGGATAAGGGGCAGGGAGTCCCGGGGGGCAGTCAGGGGGCAGTTGGGGCGGGGGCGGTCGGATAGGACAGAGGTTCGGGGGGTGGCAGTCAGGGGACAGGGAGCGGGGGGGTTAGATAGGGGGTGGGGTCCCGGGGGGCAGTTAGGGGTGGGAGGTCCCGGGAAGGGGCCATCGGGGGACAAGGAGCAGGCTGGGGTGGTTGGATGGGTTGGGAGTTTTGAGGGGGGCAGACAGGGGGTGGGAAGTGGGAGGGGGCAGATAGGGGCCAGTCTGTTTGGGGAGGCACAGCCTTCTCTACCCGGCCCTTCATATAGTTTCATGCCCGGATGTGGCCCTCGGGCCAAAAAGTTTGCCCACCCCTGTATTACAATAAAATTAAGAGCGAGCCCCAAGCTCTCATTCTAAACTCAAGCCTCTATTGGAGAACCAAGAAGATGTGGGCTTTTTCACCATCCTTTATGCCTTGTGGCTCCAGCATGGAACCAGAGGACCAGAACATCCTGCGGAAATTTTTACATGCGATTTCTGGGCCGACCAGAAGCAGCATGTGCTGATCTTTTGAGGCTTTCAGGCTGGTTTCCAGACCCAAGAACTTTGGAGGGGCAGCTGAGATTTGGGGTACTTCTGTGAACCTTTTGACATTATCCCATCAAAGCTCTGTAACATTGCGAGACCTGGGAGGAAGCCGTCCCCTACCGTAATCAACTCTCCAGCCAGAGCAGACACCCAGGAGGCCGTAGTCATCCTAAGTGACTCTGGATACAGTCAGTCAGATAAATATTGCAGTGCTGCAATATTTATCTCCTCTGCATCTCCATTTGGGAACACTTTTTTTACCATGAGTAACTCCTCCATCATCCTATGACTTTCTGCACCTGGCGTGGGGCAGCAGGTGGCTTTCTCTGGGCCTTCAGGGTTTCAGTGTAGTCAATCATTCAGTGTGTGCTGTCAATCTCAGCTGTCCCGAGGTGTGAAAGCCACATGGGGGATGCTGCCTCATCCCAGATCTCTCGTACAATGGAGGCTTGTGCTAGCTACCAGCCGTGGGCCTGGAGTCAGAATAATCTTATTTAATCTTTTTTTAATGGAACAAGGAAAATGGAGATCACCTGGCAGGTCTCAATGTAGCAGTGGTTTCAAAGGAAAGCCTTACAGCTACCATGGAATACCCCTGCAGCAAATCCTTTTAACATGGGGATTATATCCCCTTGACATTTATTCTCGAGAGTTGCCTTTGATTCATGTTTCCACTGCTCCTTGCTGTGTTTTCCACAGGGATGTGTCTCTGATCAAAGTGATCGACGTTGGCCGGAGGTTCCTGGTGAACAGGGTCCAGGATCACATCCAGAGCAGGATTGTCTATTACCTAATGAACATCCACGTCCAGCCGCGCACCATTTATCTGTGTCGACACGGCGAGAGTGAATTCAACCTCAAAGGGAGGATTGGCGGCGACTGTGGACTCTCCAATAGGGGCAAGAAGGTAGGGGAACAATATCCCTCTTGTATTTGGGCAGGTGGGAGCAAGTCCCTGGTTGTGTAATATGCCGTGTGTGAGACAAGGTGGCATCAGGTATATATACTTGGTGTAGGCCTGAATGTGTCTTCCGAATTGGCAACATTTCAGTGCACTACTGGTACCTAAATGAGCTCCTCTGAAATCAGGGGTAATTAAGCAGGACCATCTGGAAGCCCTGGGTAACAGAGGTTCAGTAACCACCCTCTGTGTTTTATCTCCTTTAGTTTGCCAGCGCATTGAACAAATTTGTTGAGGAGCAGAACTTGAAGGACCTCAAAATCTGGACCAGCCAACTCAAGAGGACAATCCAAACGGCGGAAGCCCTCAAGCTGCCCTATGAACAGTGGAAGGCGCTCAACGAAATCGATGCTGTAAGCGTCTTAACTGGCTTACTAATTGCCGACTCTCACTGAGCGGAGCAGTGAGGGCACTGGCCTTCCACCTCTGCCCAAATGTCACAGTGGAAGCGAGGTTTGCCCGCTCCAACACACTGTGACCTGGCCAGCTCGGCTGGTTTTGTCCAGGAGAGGCTGGAGCTGTAAGAGCGAGCATGGGAAGGGGAGGGCCAGGACCGAGGTGCAGTGGAAGTGCTAAGTGGGGGAAGCTGACTCCGTACCTAGCTCTGACAGCCATTGCTGACATTTCCCAAGCAGTGACGTCAAACCTCTCCAGAGACGTAAAGAGGCAGTATTGTTTCCCGGCCTGGTTTTGGCAGCAAATGCGGTGCTGCCAAAGAGCTTGTTAGCTTTTGTCTCTAACCTACTGATTTAACATTGCTGCCACTGGGGCCACTGTACGGCTGAATTCTTAGGGGCTCAAGTGCAGTCTATTCTCTGTGTGCAGGAGAAGGGTTTGCCGTAAGGCTGCCTGGTACCTGCATTGGTTGGCACCTGCAGCTCTGTTGTCTGAAGCCCAGTAAATAACCTCGGGGGATGTCTTGTTCCCGCAGGGTGTATGTGAAGAGATGACTTACGAAGAGATCAAGGCGCAGCACCCGGAGGAATATGCTTTACGCGATCAGGACAAGTACTATTACCGCTACCCTTCTGGAGAGGTATGTCTGCAGAGAAACCCTCTGGGACCTGACTGGTCTAAAATGCCACATACTTTCCTATCTTACCCGTATACCCTTCTGCACTGCATCCAACCTAGAGGGCAGAAAAGGAATGGGTCAGTCTAGGCTTTCTGAGTACTTTGAGTCAAAGCGGTAACTAGATGTGAGTGCTGACCCCATCTGGGCGTTTGTCAAATTTTAATGGGCTAGTTCTGATACCTTTGTCAAGTTGTTGGATGGTCCCGTTGATTTCATCAAGACCGCTCGAGGCATAAGGTGCTGCTTAACCTGAGCAAAGGTATCTGAATCTGGCCCTATATTTAATGTAAAATAGTATCTTCCATCCCAAAGGAGTTCTCTTTACTGCCCTGCCCTAAGACACCCTCCTGAGGCTGATGGTAGCATTTCTCCAGAGCTCTCTGCTGACTGGGGGAGTGAGCTGATGGTACATTTTTAGCAGGTGATGAAGTGATTTGTGTTCACTGACATGGGAGTTTAGTTCAGTGCTATGGAATAAAGATAAAGATGTATGAGGAATATCCACCAGCTCCTGGAAAAATACAGGCTTGTGGATTTCAAAGTTATGGAATAGTGATGTGCGTAATATTGACTGTAGGGGCTAAAATTCCCACCAGCTACCACTCTTGTTTCTGTTCTCCAGAGTATATGGCTCTTGTAGAAAAACAAGCTTCTGAAACATAGATATTCATTATCCTCGAAAACTCCATGTAGCTTAATAAACCCTTCCAGTATCCAGTGCAGATATGAAAACAGAAGTCTGTCTGTTGCTGAGGTTCTTTCTCCTCCCAATACCAGAGCAGAGAAGTGACCTTGTGTTTAGTGTTCTGTCATGAGATGTGGTGTGTTCATTTTAGAGAACTGCTGAAATTACTTGGAAGGGGTGGCTAATGGGCCATAGAGCCATTTGCCACAAGTTCACCTGTTCAAATCCATATTACTCGTGACTGAAAGTCAATTCCTAGTGGGTAGATGGCCACCATGCTGGCAGTCTCTGCAGAGAAGCCAAGGACCAGATGTTCCACTGAGCCAAAACTATCTCCTGATTCGTAGAGGGTGGTCCCTATCATTCAGAGTTAAAACAGGTTGGCGGTGTGGGGGTTCTCGCACTGTCTCTGCCTCCTGTACTCTGACTAGATGGAAGACTTCAGTCTGTAAGGCTGTTTGATTTAGAACCTTTCACCAAAGCTAAATTCATTTTTGAGCTGAGAGATGTCCATGGTTCAGAACAGATCTGCTTACGCAGAAGGGCACAAACTCCAGGCAAACTCTAGCTGGCATTGTGGAAAGGTTGGGTGGATCTCAAATGATGGTGGTGATTCTTCTGTATAGTAGGAGAGGAGGGTTGTGAATATATGTCTAGTTTAAAAGAATCCAGTAGGAGAAGGAAACACCTCTTATTACAGACCTCATGTAAAGCATCATTTCAACAGTGTTCCAGCTGCTTTTGTCCTGTAAGCCATGGACACAGCTCCAAACTCCAGGAGCTTTGGGGGTTTCACTTGGTTTAAAGCATGAACTCAGTAGATGGATCAAAACGGTGGCTTTGCTTTTGACTCCTTGTAATTCCTGACTGTGCTCTGAATTTATCTCTCGCTCTACTTATTTTGCAGTCATACCAAGATCTGGTGCAGCGCCTGGAGCCAGTCATCATGGAGCTGGAGAGGCAGGAGAACGTCCTTGTGATCTGTCACCAGGCTGTGATGCGGTGCCTTCTGGCTTATTTCCTAGACAAGAGCGCGGGTATGTGACACCCCGGCAGTCTTAGCTGGAGGCAGTTGGGTCCCATGTTGCTTCCGGCTGCTCTACATTGGGTTGCCAGGGGAGGGCGGATGGGGGTATTTTACAGAAGCTCAGAGAGAAAGGGATTCCTTGCACACACTCCTCCAAGGAGTTCTCGAAGTTGGATGGTGCTGGGAGTGCTGCTTGGTGCACACAGTTCTGTGTCTGCAAAGACTGGGCCATATGACGCTCGTGGTATTTTAAGTGGAATTGCACCAGCCTGAGCCCCTGCTGTATCATGCGGTGGGCTGGTCACTGAGAGTGTAGGACCTCTCCTATCCTGCTGGTCCCTGCTCCAGCTTCTGGGCTGCTGCAGTGTCATTCCTCTGAACATCTTTTGGAACCCTGGCACCACCAAGTGAGCTCCAGGGTCGGCCTGAGGAGTCCCCAAGTTGCTGAGGAGGGGGCATTCAGTCTCCCAGTCCGGCCTACTGCTGAAGTGGGAGATTGGAACTAGCCAGGGGCGTTGGGCCAGCTGTAGAGAGGAGCCCTGGGTGGACCCTTATTTTGCCTGTGCTTCGGGTGACCTAGGCAGTGTGCTAAGTTATACACGGGGAGGGGAGTCCCACCGGCCTCTACCGAGTCGGTCCATACATCTACAAACCCATTTGCAGACGGGACTCTGCCACTTGTGCTGTCACTAACCTCCCCTCCCCCCCTTGTTTGCCCTTCCTCCAGCTGAAATGCCCTACCTGAAGTGCCCCCTTCACACGGTGCTGAAGCTGACACCTGTGGCCTATGGTAAGTGGAACGTTTTCCCTTGGCGCGCTGGCTAGCGCGGTTGGGTGAAGTGTTTGCTGATGGTTACACCTTGGTTCAGGCTAGATTGTAGGCTCTTTGGGGCAGGACTGGAGCGCTCTTCCTGTGTGTTTGTACGCTGCCTAGCGCAGTGGGTCCCTGATCCTAACGGAGGCCTTTGGGCTCTACCCTAAAGTAACGAGGAACCATCAATTGCTCACGGTCTCTCGCTCCTCACTGCAGGTTGCCGAGTGGAGTCCATCTGTCTGAACGTCGAAGCGGTGAACACCCACAGAGACCAGACAGAGGTGAGTTGTGCTTTGCTTTAGATCTCTGTCACTCTCTCTCCTTCCTCCTAATGTGAGCCGGCAACAAGGACTTCAAGAGGGGCTGGGGGTTGGGGATCGCTGGGCTGGGCACCATGAGCAGCCGTTTGAGAACTGGCCGCAGGAGTTGCAGGCAGATGAGGAGGCTTCAGAAATTAAAGACCCTAAAACCCCCAACCTGCCTTCAGGTGCTTCCCCTACATTCTAGAGCCCTGATCCCAAGCGCACTGAAGTCAATGGACAGACTTTCATCGGGCTTTGGATCAGGCCCTCTGACAGCCAATGAGCCTAGACTGATAAATGCCTGAGGAGGAGGCAGGGAATGATTTCTGCAGTGCCGTAGTTAGGGCCAGAGCCATCAGGCCACGTTCCTTGTTAAGCAGAAGGGGTGAGTGCGTTGTATGCTTGTGGAGGGCTAGGGGAGAGGAAGGAAAAATGTTAGCAGTCTCCTTTGGGGAGTGAGATTAATGTGCTGTGGGCATGTAAGCTAAGCAGGGTTAAGCCTGGTCAGTACGTGGCTAGGAGACCTCCAAGGAACATGTAGGTGCTATGAGCAGTGGTGCTGATGATTTAGGAGACGGCATACTTCCATGGCCTTGGCACTGAAGGCATGCTCCAGCATGGTGTTCGGGGGTGCTGTGCTGATAGATCCAATTTAAATTGTCCCCCTTTCAGGTGGCTCTTTTTTTCTTCACTTCCTGTCCTAAACTGCATCGTAGGGTTGCCAGAAGTCAGCCTTTCCCGCCTAGTTGTGGCTGCATAGTCGGCAATGGGTGAAGCAATTCCTGGCTGGGTAGCATAGACCAAGAGCTTCTGAATCCTTTGACAGCTGCTGTATTGTAGCAATGGGTTCTGCAGCAATAACAAGAGCTAGGCTGTGGTGATAACATAAAGCTAGACAAGCACAAATTGCTCTGGTTATTCTCCTAATATGCTGCATGGGTAGCTGTCCCTCCCTTTCACACGGGAAGTGTGGGCAGTTCCAGGAAGCGGAACATCCCCTAGGTGAGCATAAGCTCTTTGCAATGGAACTTCGCTGGCTGCTCTGTCCAATTGCTGAATCAATCGCTCTCATTGGCTAGACTTGCGCCCTCCTGTGCTTCTTGCTTTTGTGCTCCCCTCTTGCCTATCTGCTTGGGTCAGCAGGAAAGATCTTGAGAAGGAGACAGAAGAGCCTTCCTGTTCTAGTCAATTATCGCTGCAAGTCGTGGCCTTTTCTGCGTAGAACCAGAAGGGTTCAGAGTGTAGGGTTTTTTCCCTTGGAACGTCTCTCCTGACCTTTGTGTTGCACTTGGTGATCAGGGACATTAATGCATCAAACATGCACCATGTATGTAGATGGTTGTTTTTTTTTTTGGGTGGGGAAATAGAGGAGAATTTAAAATTGCTTTTTTTCATAACTTTCGCCTTCTTTCTTTTTGTCTTTGTCTCGCTCTAATTTAGGAAGCAAAGAAGGGACCTAACCCGCTCATGAGACGTAATAGTGTTACCCCTCTAGCGAGCCCAGAGCCCACCAAAAAACCGCGCATCAACAGCTTTGACGAGCATGTGGCTTCTTCTGCTGCTGCCCTGCCAGTCTGTATGCCCCAAGAGGTGCCCACGCAGCTGCCTGGACAAGTTAGTCGAATTCTTCTTCTTCTCTTTATTGTTGTTCGCTTCTTGTCGCTTATTAATCAAAGGAGCAGCATTTGATTATTTTAATTATGCTGCTGTCTTCGAGCTGCGTTTAGTTAGTTTACCACCAGCGCCCTCCCTTCTATTAAAAGCACCTAAAATTAACTCACTCTTCAGTCTCTTGCTTCTTGGGACCCTTGGAAGCCCAGGAAAATCCAAATCCAGACTGAACTGAGCAGCTGTGTTGTTGAAATTTAATATTTCTCTCTGTCCCCATTCAAGTGCCTCTGAACTCAGCTACTGTGCAAGCTTCTAAATGGGTGCCTGGTGCTGGTTTGCCCACTCGCATTCCAGATCGTTCATTGGCCTCTCCAATCCTTCCTCCTCTGGGATCTAGCTGTCCCATACTAGGTTGGAGTTTTGTTCTAGGTGCTGCAATAAAGGAATAATTCTTGGCATTATCTTAATAATGACCTCTGGGAACCTATACCCTGGTCGCACCTGCTTCCCTTCCCATCACTCTCCCAAGAACCCCAGCCTAGCTAGAGGTGGGGCAATAGAACAGCCAATGTTGCCTTTTTGAACAGCAGCCCTAATGACCAGCTGTCACGGAGCTGATAAACTGGCTTTGACTCTATTGGCTGTGACTTGTGACCCTTGCGCAAATCCCAAGGGGACGCATGGGCTTGCTTGCTCTGTCCATTATAGAGGACGGAGCTCCTCTAGGGGCATTGCTTAGTGCTGCCTTCTCCCCATGATTGCTCCTCTGATATTTAATAGAGGTCGTAAAATTCCTTCCTCCGAGTCAGTTCCCCCCACAGTTAAAGATCTGGGGTGCTGGCTACACAAGTGCCCGTAAAAGTGTGTCTCTTCAGGCCTTAGAAGCGACCTTAGTTATAGATGAATAAGAGCCTGCTGCCTGGTCTGTCTGCTCTTCCTGTGCCCTGTGGTCCATGTTAATTCCCTGTTGCCCTCTCCACTGCTTTGTAGGCCAGTCCTAAAAAGTAAGGCTGCGAGTTCCTATTCTTGCGGGCTGGGATGAATTGCTGGAGATTCTGGTTGGTGGCTGCTTTGCACTAACATCTGGTTCCCAATTAGCACTAAAGGAGATGGTTAAGGAGGCCTCCAGTTTTGGTGTCCTTCATGCTACCGCTCCTTCCAATTAACCGTCTGCCCAGCTTCGACCTGGAATTGCTCTTTGGTTGGTTGCCTCTCGCTGATTTCAAATGACTCCCTTCCTACATGCACTCTGTTACTGATGTCTCTCTTTCCATTTTCTCTATCTCTTTGTCTCCTTGCAGCCTTTACTCGGGAAGGCGTGTCTGTAAGTATCTTCTTGTGAGTTTTTCCTTTCTGTGTCTCCTACCTTCCAGCTGGCTTTGTTGTTATCTTTGTTGTTGCTGCTGCTGTGAAACTAGATTGAGTTCTGGATTTTAATTCTGTGGCTCCCAAGTCTTCCTTCATAAGGGGGAAATTCATGCATCTTTATGGGGGGGAAGATGGGGCCATCAGTGGTATTCAAACACTCAAGGGTCTTGGATCTGATACTGCTCTCCTCCTGATCTCTCTCCTCCTTTTTGTCCCCCTCCTGCGCCCTTTCCAAGCATTTGGTCAAGGACATTGGAATCTGTTAAGGATTCTCTTCAGTGCTTGTACCCTCTAATCTGGTTTGTAGTTCTGGTTTGTCCTTCCTTCCTGCCTGGGTGCTGGCTTGGCTTCCTGTTAGCTGTGACACTCCTACTTCAGTAGATGTGGTTTAGCAGTGTCTAACTAGAAGGTGGCGAGAGGGGCTGCTTTGCCTCTGGTGCAATCAGCCTCCACCCTCCCCACCCCATGTCTAGTTAGTGCTGTTCCCTCCTGGCCAGGGACGGCTTGTATCCCTGGCTCGTGGAGAGACTCCCACACAACAGTGTTTCCACCTCCTTAGAATGCAACCAGTGGGAGCAATGTTCCCTCTCATTTTCTCCTTCCATGTGCGGAATGAATTTTATGTGCAACACCAATATCGAGGTGATGTGCGGATGCGCGCCAACTGTGCAAACAAAAAACCTGAATTGCTGATCGGACTTAGCAGCTTTTTGTACCCTTCCACTAAAGGGCTGCTGTTGCTGAAGCTGCATCTGCAGTTGACCTTGCTATGTATTCATTCTCAATAATCTATATATTATGTATTACTTTTTGCTAAAAAGTAATGCAGGGCCTTGTATCATTTTCTGTTACAAGAGCTATGTAGATAACTGCCATTTAGCATTTGAATTGTCAGAGTTTTCTAATTTGCAAGATTATATTATAACACTTTCTGCTAGGGAATCGGATCATGGCTTTGTCAGTAATTGAATAGGACAACACTGAATCTTTTCCTGTGCCTCTGGATATATTGAATATGTCAAGGCACCAAATCCTGTTACCCTTCTGTATAACCCAGCCAAACCGGTGTGGGTCTACTGCAGAAACAGTGGGCAGGCAGCAGTGGGGAGGGGTGTCTAGCCCTGCACACCCCAAGCTCCCCACTGCTCCCATCCACCCCCTATAACCCCCACCTCACCTTACACAGCCTCTTCGGGATCCAGGCCCACCTTTGGCTGCACGTCTGCACGGCTCCACTAATTTGGTGCGCGGCCCTTGATGCCCTCTTTTGCGGTTGCACAGACGCGCACCTTAGAAGAAACACAAAGTGTGAGGTTGCACCAAATGAGCTTCCTGGGGAGGGTCCTGCTTCACGTTGCTCCCCTCACCCTAGAAGGATTTTATCTCCTGTCTCAAGGGAGGCTGTTTAGACTTTGGCTGGGAGCTGTCGGGTCATGGTGTCCATCTACCTACAAAACTGTGACAAGCAAATCGGGATTCGAGGCTTCTGGGGAATAGAGTATCCATGTTGGCTTGGGGATAGTAGACAGTAAAGTAGACCCCTCCAGCTATGGTCAAGAATATGATTCTTGCCATTGTTGTATCTGTGCTTTGAATGACTGCCCCTAACTCCTGCTGCTTTTATACTCCATACTGCGTGGCTTTCTACAGATCAGTTGCAGAATAACCGAATGTTAGTTAGAGGGAGCCTAATTGGCACATACTGGTGCTCTGTAGTCTGCCAGGGGACAGGTACAGCGTAATGGTGAGAAGGCATCAGTTCATCATCTTACTCACTGACTGGATCAGCCTGAGTCATAGTTAATGTTGCATGTCTGTCCTTGTTGTTTTCAGGATGCTGGGATTTGCTGTTAACTAAAATGAGCAGTAGCAGAGGCAGAATTCAGTTATGCTTGAACACACTGACGAACCTCATTAATTCTTATCATCTCCCTCTTATCTTGTGATAGTCTAGCTAAAATATCAAATCTAATAGCCTCTGTGTTGTTGGGAAAGGGAATAGGTCACGTTAGCAAACCTGGGCATGACATTTTGAAAGATTCTCGTTTGTGGGCAGCTCAGCTCTTGTATGTTAAAGGACAGATGCAGGCTTGTCTTGATTTATGTTGATTTGTCTAGCATGGCATGCACGGCTGCTTTTTCCTTTCCTTACTGCTTGTGAGGGTGCTTCTTAATATTGTCCACGTTGTAATCAAAAAGCACTGAACAGCTTGATGCTGACCGTGCCACTGAAAATGCCCCCTCTGAAGCAGAGGTTCAAAACCTTTTTGGGACAGCTGGCTCAGTTTGCCAGGCCAAGAACTCTGCTGAACCAGCCGATGCTCTCCAAGTTCTGACAGTAGTTGCAAGACTAAAGCTTAGGGCAGACCAGACTCCATTGTGGCTTGGAGCTTGCCTTGCTGACTGGCTGGTGGCACCTTTTATGCTTAGGTTCCTCTTCCCTACCTTAAAGGAGCTAAGGCATTCGGGCCAAATTCAGAGGTGATGTGTAACTGGCATGTTCATCCAATCCCCTGACTGTATGTTATCCCATTTTAGGCTGACTTAGACATGTGTCTATCATCATACACCCTCCTCTGTGATCCAAATCTCTATGAGCATCTAAGTGGCCGCCTTAGTGGCTAGAAGAGAGGGCAACTTGCACGAATCATAGTCAACCCTGACTTTTACCCCTATTTGGGGATATATGTTACGCTAATGTAAACTCCCTGACTCATTTTGTTCGTGGGTGTAAGTAGGTCTGTGGTGGAGTTGAGGGCAGGTGCTCAGCTGATGTAAATGTGTCGCAGCGCCATTGAAAATCAGTGGAACTCTGACCACTTACCCCCGTTGCGGATCTCGGAGCGTCTAATGTCCCTTCCTTCCGACTCTAGCTCCCAGAGCCTGAAGCATCAGTGGCTGGGAACCACCATCCTAGTATGGATTGGATTCTTTGTTGTTAATAGGATTATATGTAACCTAGAAAGCAGGCAAGAAATAAGATCACATACCAGCAGCCTAGCACTTTTGCTGGGAATAGACTGTAGTAAGTGCTCATCACTGTAGGATCTAGGCACTGGGGAGCAAATGTGGAGGACAGCTGTTGCCTTTTGACTATAATGGTGGTGTGTGCGTGTGTGTGTGGTCTTTTTATTTGTTTTGATCCTGAATGAACTTTTATTAAATCAAATTTAAAGTCTCTTCCCCTCCTCTCCCCTTCTCTCTTTCCCCTTCACTTTTCACGCTTAAAGACGAACTGTGTATCACTTCCTTAAAGTTTTCTCTTTACTAATATTTCCAAGGTAAATGGCTCAATGCATGCTCTGGCTTCCCTAACCTGACCCTGTCTCTGTGGATAGCAGTGAGAGCATCTCAACCCACTTCTGTATCTTGGTCCATGCTATAAACCCAGCCAGGACTGAGATTTCTGTTGAGAAACTGGTCTCTTCCCCCTTTTCCCCTCCCTGGGATGTTGTGATGTGGATAACTTGCCAATCGCAACAAACCTTCATGTCCCATATCTAGTGGGGGGCTGCTCAGTGTTGTGACCACTGCAGAGGGTGTCAGTCTTGCATTGTGACTAGTGTGTTTAGCTGTTGAAACTTGCATCCTTTTCACCTCTTTGGCATGGATTAGAAAATGCTTTTCTAGTTGACGTTGGTGTTCACTGGATGTCTTTGCAACAGCAGTTCTGAAGAGCTACAGCTGAGGTCTATAGCTGGATGGTGTCTAGACTTGAGCAGCAATGGAAGGCCCTAGTGCTTTTTAAAGACAGTATTGGGGCAAGTGAAAAGTCTGGAGATCTTAATCTGTAGTTCACGGTGAGGCAGACTATGGGAAGCCAAGGTCCTTTGCTCAGCTGGAGCAGCCAGTGTGTTCATGTCTCATTCAGCCATTGTGCAGGATAGCGCTTAGCATAGCTTTGCTGACATGAGAATTGGTGGTTCAGCTTTACTAGTGCAAATTACTGAGGGTTCCAATATGTGCTAGGAGGTCTGGAGAAACAAAGGAAGACCCAGAGCCCGAGTCTCCACCCTTGTGTATTCATTTATGCCTGTGCAGAGTGGGTAGCATTTCACATCCACGCTGCACTGGTGTTGATTACTCTGCAGTACAGAATCTGGCATATAGTCCCTGCCCTGAGGCACTTACTGTCTAAATACAGACATGACATAAGCGAGGGCCATGAACACAAACAATAGAGGGCCAAGGGTTAGAGGCAGGCGGCATGCTGATGAAAATCTCCTCTGCTGCTTTTTTGTTTTTTAATCATGGCCGTTCCCTCAGTGGGCATTGTCTGACCTGCCTCCCTAGTAGATGCTTTTGCAGTGATTTCTACAGTGGCTCTGTTAGCCTTCCCTTCCCCATGTCCCATCTGCATGTACAGGATGCTGCTGTGTTTCTTGCTGTTTGGTTTCCGAGTTACAGGGCAAATCCAACCCCTGCTTTGCTTTGTTTCTTTGCAAGAACATGAACAGCTCCCAGAAGCAATCGTGATTTCTTCAGGGCCGTTGGAAGCCTACAGATGATGCCGACCCCATTTCATCGTCATTTCTGATGTTTGCTTGTATCGTACTCCTCCATTCGACTCAAGGTTGCCCCTTGGCTGCTTCTACCACAGCTGTTCATCTGCCGACTGGACTGGATTGAGCTGGGGGAGGGGAGAGAGAGAAGAGCTCATCAGCCTGGAAAAAGTGGATTCAACAACAGATCCATAGGCCATCTCTGTGTGTGTCTCCTTGGGTGTTTGATATTTCTTAGCAAGCTGTAAAGTGCTTCTAGTGCACTGAGTTTCTGGACTTTGTTTTTGTGTATAAGTGACATGACCTTGCAGGGATGGCTGGTACTGCCCCGTCTCCTCCCGTTCATGTGTGTATATATGTGGAGGAGGCAGGGTGAGCAGAGAAATGCAAAAGGGGAGGGGTGTCTTTAACTCCTCCATGCACCGGACACTCCTTATTGGTACCAGCGATGGCCTGTGACACGCACGCAGCCAGTCTCTTCAGGGCATGTGACCTGACGGCAGAGACAGTTGGGCAAGATCTTTGGCTGTTCAAGCAGAAATCTACAGCCGCTTTTAACAAAACAATTCTACAGCTCTGTAAATATCAGAGGGATCTGCCGAGTGTGTACGTCTGCTTCTGAAACAAATGGAATCTGCATTTAGCCTCGACCTGAGATGCGCTGCCTGAGGGGAGATGGTTTGAGCCGCTTGCTGACTTGACATGGCAGTGAGGCTTGGATTGGGGGGGAAGCCCCACTCTGCTGTTGTTTGGATGAGGTTGGGGGAGGGGAGGAGCACAGGCCTATGTGACCCAAGAGGCGTTTCCTTGTAATTAATCTCCGCACCCTCTACTTCCCAGAGGTTTTTACCCTGTGCTTGAGCAGGATTTACTGTTCTAAAGTAGGTGGCTAGGCTAGGTTAGGTGGGTTTGGCAGACACACAACCCTCTTGGGATTGCATGGAGGTCTGTCCGTGAAGAGCAAGTTTTTGTGTGTGTGTGTGGAAAAATCCACAATCAGAGGCATTTAAACAATAGTTTCTTTTTATAAACTGTTTGTTTTTGCACTTTACATGTGGCAGGGGTGTGCTTCCCCCCCCCCCCCCTCCATCCTGCCTCTTACAGATGAAGCCTAGATACTTGGATGCTGTACTGCGTGAGCTGAAAGATGAAGACTGCAAAGCAGTGGGTAGTTACAGTGTTAGCTGTGGAGAGGGGAGCAGGGTGGGTGTGAGGTACTAATTTATGGACTAGTTGTAGGGACTGGCCAACTTCCAGTTGTTCTGTATGCGAGTCTCTTCTTGGCCGTCTGTTCTGTGCTTCAAGTTAAGGGATTTAAACCCAAGAATAACCACTACTGTGTCATTTGTGCAGAAGTTTGTGTGCCCGTGTGCGCTTGTATTATCCTTGTACAGCATTTTCTCCAGCCCAGCCTCACTCCAGAAACGGGGAGAGGAGGAGAATATTGAAGTAGTGTCTCATTTTTCCTTGGCCTGCCAAGCCCTAAATCTTGGCTAGTCCCCGTGCTCTCTTTTGACCCCGCCGCACGCTCTCTCCGGTGCGCGAGTGCTGAGCCAAAAAGCCGAGTGGAGCTCAAGCAATACATTATTGTCTTAACGGTTTAAAGTGCAAAGGAGGTACCCTATAGTCCATTAGCAAAGTGGGCGGGGTCCTGAGCTGTCAGCATTGTACTGGGGAGTTCTCCATTCTCGTTCATTTTATTTCTTTGTATTCATTCTTGCTTCAGGTAATGGTTAGTCGGTGAGGTTCCTGCAGATGGGAGCAGAAAGGCTCTGGTGGAATGTGGTTATTTCTTTGGAAAGGTGAACCGCAGTGCCTAGTGCTTTAGTCTTGCACAGTGAAAATGCTTTGTACATTTGTACCTTTTAAAGCAGCACCAGGGAAGGGCTGGTAGCGGCTCTCTCAGCCCATATCCGACCATTGAAGATATTTTTATTGGTGATCTGCCAATGTGAGGTTTGTTTATATACAGCTATTCTTGTAATGATGAAGTGGAAGATTTTTGTTTTTGAATAGCTGATAAATCCAGAGTTCCCTTTTTGCCTGCGTGTTTTATGTCTGCTATTTAGTTTCATTCGTTTTAGAGAGACTAATTTTTAGAGCGTGAGTGACCTATCTTTTGAACTGCTTCCTGAGGAGCTTAACTTTCTCCCCCTGCCACGGAAAGATAACGCAGCAAACGCAAACATTAGGGCCCGTGATCCATTTTACACACACCCAAACTTCAAAACAAACTTTATCTCCGGTTCTGAAAATAACTTCACATTGGTGGGGCCTACAAAAAATAATGTTAATCTGTCTGAAAAGGAGTATGTTTACTTGAAAGGGAAAGTGGTGGAATATCGCTTGAAACCAATCCCCCGATGCAAAGAGGAGGGAGTTAGGCGAGCAAAGGGGCTTCCTGGGATTGGTTCTCTGTCCATCGTGTTCCCCTGGAAACCTGACACCAATTCTAGAGCAAATATTGGGCATGGGCCGTGCCATTATAAGACAGGGTGGGGGGGGCAGAAGGGGCTACTTAAATCACACCAGTGACTTCGTTTGTTTGTTTGTTTTGTGAGACTTGAATTTATTTTTTTATAATTTTGATAGCGAAGTGCTGTTTATTTATTTAATGTATACTGCAGAGCTTGGAGAGAAGGGTAAGTCTTTTGGGGTTTATTTTATTTTGACTTGTGATATGTTACTTGTATTCTGTGTATATGTCTGGAATAATTGCCTGAGATGAAAGCTGTGCCAGTTTAAGAACAGGGTATGCCTTTCAGAGATTTGTATATTTTGCAGTTGCTGGACCAATAAAATACCTTGTTGAAATATACATGGGCGTGAACCTTCCTTTGGCAACGGTATTCTTCTCATTCATGGTTTCCCTGCTGTGCCTAGCGCACTGACAAGCACCTCTTGAATACAAATAATGTTACTGTACGCGGGTAAGGCTGTTTCATTGCTGTATCGTCTTGGGACCCTATGGGGTGGGAGGGTCTCCCAAGCCCAGAAGTCTACCCAGAAATGAAACAGCCCTGCAGTCCTAGCCCCGCAAGCCCCAGTCAGCTGGCAAGGGCCAAGTGCAGCTTTTTCTCTGCTGTGTAGACACCCTGAGTCAGTCACTTCTGGGTGGGAGAGTGGCAGGCACCCAGCATACTGCAGAACGGTGGGGGTAGTGGTCACAGCCAGGGGCCAAATCCAGCTCATGTGGGAAAACTCCTGTGGAACCCTTAGCACCCACGCTGCTCAGAACTTTCAAAGGAGGGGGTCCAAAGTTAGGCAGATCTTAAAAATCAGACCACTTCTACTTCGGTGTCGAAGATTTCCAGTGCAGTTGATGGAAGCTACCGATATACAGCACCTTTGTAAATTGGCCCACTTTTATTTAGCTTAAAGTGCAATAGAAACTCCCTGTAAAACAGAAGTGGTCTTGCTATTAGGGGCCTGCCACTGGAGTGCTTGGTACTGTAGGAGATAAAAATACACAGCCCTTGCCCCTAAAAATATCACAGTCTGGATGGACATCCCCATGCACTGGAAGAGCAGGAAGAAAATTCAGTCATGCAGCTTTCCTAGTGGGTACAGTACATGCCTACTCTGGATTTAAGAGACCGTCAGACCTACGGGGTTTATTTCTCAGTTGAATAACTAGGACTCACGGCTTAATGGCCCCAGCCTCTTTAAAGACCAGTCGCACCCCTTGCGCTGCAGGTTTGAATGTGAAACGGATTTAATAGTTGCCATCGAGCATGTATTCAAAGGTGGCTAAAGTTTTTAACTCAAGCCCTCTTTTCTCTTTCCTTGCTAAAAGCAGACAGAGGACTGGCACGCAGTTTTCTTTGGAGACCATCAGCCAAACCAAAAGAGAGCAGGAAAACCGGGAGAGAGTTTTGCTGGTTAACTCCCCTGCAAGGGCTTTTACTGCCTCAGCAGAACAGTAACCAAAGAATACTTTGTTTCTCTGAGGCGATACCTCCCCATCAAGGGCTTAGTTCTGCTCCCACTGACATCGATTGGCAAACCTCCCTCGTTACTTTGAATGGGAGAGGTTCAGATCCTTAGCTGCTATTACAGAGAGGCCTGAGCAGCCAAGTTCTGGTTCCAGCTTCCCCACAATGTAGGAGCCAGTTGCAAATGTTGGATGTGGCTATGAATGTCTCCACAGTCCAGAAGGGTTTGGACCCAGCTGGTTCGGGCTCATCTCTGTTAATTAACCCTTTGTCTGACACAGCACTGGCCCCTCCTATACCTTCGAGGTGGTGCACCCCATAAATAGGCTTTGCAGACGGGGTTAGTTCAAGTCAGGCTTCACCCTCTGCCCCATCCCAACTGGACTGGTTTAGAGCAGCTCTAACCTCGCTCTTTGTGATGGGCCAAGTTGCAACATGTTGATGCTTTGGCTGTAGTTTAAATCTCTGAACTTTTGGAGGGTTCTGCATTTTATAAACCCCTGCTCCATCCCCGCTCCAGAACACACCACAGCTACAGGCCTGGATTATGGCAATCCAGGGTCCTAGGCACACTGCAACACAAATCTGCCTGTGGCTTCACTCCTGCACTGTGGCCATCCCCCCCCCCCCCCGGGGTGGTGGTGGTGGTAGGACGAGCAGCATGCGGGGAAGGGAATCCTCCCTGAGGGGTAGCAGTAAGGTCCCCACTCAGGCTGCTGCTTCCTCTGCTTCTATCTGCTTGGCTGGCCTGGGCTGGGTCTGCGGCAAAACGTCCCAGCAGAGGATCGTGCGTGGTGCTTTGTGTCATGTTTTCTAAGATCCTTGGTGTCCTCCTAGCCTGCTCCTGTTGGTGGGGGAAGTAATTGAGTGATTGCTTCTCTCCCCACTTCCTGTTTTCATGGGCCAGGGACTGGCAGGGACTAGCTCCCAGAATTCCCCTTCAACGGATGGTTAGTGAGCTGTTCTCCATGAATTTTTGTTTGCTTGTTGAGGAGCCAATTGACAGGCCTACTTCCTACTCCAACTCTCGTGGGAGGCAGGTGACTTGTCCAGCCCCTGCTCCTAACCTTACGACTGTAGCAACAGCATCCAGAAACTCACTGGACAAGACTTCCCAGAGTGCACTGCTGCAGGACAAAACCCTTACAATCAGAGCCCCACAGGGCACTGGGTCATTTAAAGATCCTCAACCGGGATAAACTGAAGTCAGTAGAGCTGTGTCAGGGGAGCTGTGTGGATTCACACAAGCTGAGGATCTGGGACCCAGTTTCTGCTGAAGAAATCTAGCCACTAGGCCTCATAGCCAGCCCCCAAACCAGTGCAAGGCGGGAGCAGGCCAGTCAGTCACCTTTGGAAGAAGCCAGAAGGAAGGGGTCGAGACAGCTGCTCCTGCAGCTGAGGAGGGGATGGGGGTGGAGATGGAGAGTCAGCCTAGCTGCCAGCCTAGGAAAAACCCAGAAGTCGTGAAAAAGAGGCAATCCCAATGTTTCCGCCCCATGAGGGTCCATGGTCCAGTGGGGGTGTCTGAGCCATAGGAAAGGGGGTTCCTCCTGGTTGGATAAGTGTCCAAACTTTGGAATGCTCCTCTAAAGCTAACCCTGAACCTTGCTCATTTATTCATGGTCACGGGCTGCAGCATTCCAGGTGGAGTTTACAATCCAGGCATACTTTCCTTGTTTTCTCTAATCAAGGCAGTTCTCATCTCGAGGCCCTCCTGGGGTGGGAACATGGGTGCACTGCAGAAACACCACCACCAAGGGCTAAACTATGCTCTTCCTTGCCTCCATTAAGCTCAGGGGAGCTGCTGTGGATTTACTCTGAGGTAATGGAGGGCAAAATCTGCCCCCAAGTGATAAATTCCTTGGGCCGGATGGTCAGCTGGTGTGAATCAGCGTAGCACCATCGAAGTTAATGAAGCTAAGCCAGTTTTCACCAGCTGAGGAGCTGGCCTCTTGCATAGAAGCCTAAACAGGCCCAGAGACCAAACTCCCCAATAGACACCAACCCTCCAAACAGGTTTGAAGCACCTTTGCAGAAGGTGAAATGGGAATGGCGGGGAACTTGCCACTGTTACCCGTTCTGTGGTCTCCAGCTTGGGACACCAATGGCTTTCACTGTCACTGTGTTTGAGATATTAAATGTTTAAATACATATGGAGCTCGACATTTATGTCTGCATTATTTGGAGGGGGCTAAAAAAAAAAAAAAACTCGCTCGTATGTGTTACCCAAAGCTAATAATAGCCGTTAGCCACAACATATGAGCACGCTGCCTCCCCTGTTTACCAGACGAGCAGGAGCTGTGCAGAAAGTCCAGATAGCATTGACCTTGCTCTGCTTACCCAGATAAGAAGCTTGCTTGCATAAGCACAACTTGGATCAAGGTATTTTCAAGGCTATCAGGAAATTCCTGCTGCCCTGAAGTCTGGTGCATCAAGATCCGCGTTACACCGGTCACTGCCCGTCATGCATGTTAAGGTTCTTGAGACACGTGTGACAGCATCGGCAACCAATTTCTGCCTGTGCCAATGGGATTATTCCAACAGTGCCCAACTCATGAGGAAGCCACCGTAGAAAGGTCTATGTGTTAACCCCATGGTGGCTGGAGATTCCAGTGCCAGCCAGGGATCTAGTTCTGTGACTGGAGGATACATGCCCTGTTGGCTGTAAAGCAAGTCATCTACTCAGGAAGGAGAAAAGGGCCACCCGAGCTTCTCATATTGTATCCTAGATACGCTACATCCTGTGGGTAACAGCTTCTGAGATTTGCATGCTACAGTGGTAGGTGCAGGAGAGAGAACTTTTGGGGCACAGACTTGGTTTAAAGGGGCTAATCCTTGCTCAAGTCTCGACCAGGATCCTTACCTGTGCTATGGAACAGAATGCACAGCAGCGATAGCCCCTGAGTGTCACACCCCCTCAGGAGGCCTCTGCATCTCTCATAAACTCTTCCTGCATCCTCTTTCCTGTTGCTCCAGCCCCACCACGTAAAGGTCAAGCATTTCCACTGCCATCACTGGGTGGAGAGGCCTTGGAGATCAATGGGAGTTAGGTAGAGTACCTTTGTGAATCCCACCCCTGGGACCTGTCATGGCTGCTCTTTCGTATAAGACTCAAGGATGCAGCAGGAGAGTTGCCAGTATATTCTCCTGGTAATCTCTCTTGCGTGGTCTCGATTGTTTGCTGGAATATTGCTCCAGTATTGACTCTTGCTTCCAGGACCAGTCCTGCCAGTTAACTCGGTGCCTCGAATGTGGGCAGGAAGTGGAAGGGACGTGATCACAACGGAACTGGACTGAATATTGTTGGAAGTATTGGTGAGGTCCTCGCCCACCTCTGTTCAGAACAGTCATCTCAAAAGAGTCCTCTTACCAAGTTTCTTTGGTCTGGCCTGAGAGCCCTCAGCTCCTGCACATGGGAGCACACGGGTGTGTTACGAAGCATCCAGCCCCCTCGCTCCCCTGACTCGTTTCTTTGTGCGGTACATTTTGTACCTTTGCAAAGAGGAGACGTTCCTCCAGGCAGAGCAGCTTTAAAGGTTACTCTTGACAGGAGGCTCATTTCTCTGCTCTTACAATCTCCTCCTCGCCCATTCACCAGTCTCTGCAAGCTGCATCTGCAGTAGCAAAGTCACAGAACTTGTGGGTGCTACGACAGCAGAGATCCCAGCTGAGCCAGTTCTGCAAGGCGTCACAGCAAGTAGAGCTACGTTTGTATAACACGGGAAAGGATAAAATCAAAGGAGTGAACCTTTATGGTGCAACAACATCCATGGTACACCCACATCTTGAATACCGTGAGCAGATGTGGTTGCCCCATCTCAAAAGAGATATATTGGAATTGGAAAAGGTTCAGAAAAGGGCAACAAAGATGATTAGGGGTATG